TCCAGACTGCTCACTGGCATCCCGTTAAAACATACAAAGTATATATTTAAAGAATAATTTTATCACCTTCCTCTGAGAAAGAAAAGAGCAACATCCATGTAATACAGATTTGGTGAATATACTGTATAATGCCAAATGTTAGCTTGTGATTACATGTATGAGCTCTATGTACAGCCAGCCCCCAGCCTTTCCCTTGCAAACTGAACCAATTCACCTCACCTATTAAATTGTTGACCTCAGGAGCAACCTTTAGAAGTCCTCCCTTCCCCAGACTCCCTCCTGGCTAGACCCTGCCACGAAGCCCCCCCCCCAACAAAAGGATGGTGTGTCATTCATTCACTGGCGTTTAGAACTAAAGTTCAAGCAAAGGTCCTGTGAAGGGAAACAGCCTTGCTAACTCAAGTGGTTTTATTTTGAGAAGTACAAGGAAGCCTTAGTGGTTTGTGTGATGAATAATTGATCCCATAGATTAAAATAAGCTGGAGAATATCTACAAATTGTGGGGCTGAATTTAGCAGCTTACATACTAGGAATTGAAGAGCTAGGATTTTGCTGATTTTGCTATTTCCCACTTAGATTCATTTTTTAATTCACCAATAAATCTGTTCTGTCTCACTGTTACATTGATTTGTGAATATTGTTTTAAAATCCAAATATTTGTATTCAGATCGAATATGCTAATGGCAAACTCATTCTCAGCACTGCAGAATTTCAGCCTGCAGATTCTTATATAGGCAAATTGGAATGATCCATGCAAAAGGAAATATTTAGCAAGCTCAGAGAGACTCTGATTTGAAGCAGAAGAAAAAATGTTTGGAAGTGAGGGGAACCCTGCAGAGAAAATCTCCTAAGAAAATCCAGCAAGCACAGGGCACATACAATGGCTACTATAAATCAGTCCCATTAGATGATATAAACTCTCCAAAGTGACTCACTAGTATTACTTACTACGACATTTTTAAAAGGTTAGGCAAAGTTGAAAGCAGCAGGAAATGAAGAAGATTGAGTATGACATGAACTGACTTAAAAAGGGAAGCCACAGCTTTTATCTTACAAGACATGAGGGCTGTTAGTGATAGGATCTTCTTTCTGAAGGTTATTAATTCTTAGAGTCACCATAATTCAAAAATGATGCAAAAGCATGTAACAACATCATGTTCTGCACTTCACTTTGGTAACTCATCTTATCTGAGAGGCAGACCACATTAACACTGTGATCCTTAAAGCTTCCTATTCCATAAAAAAGTGGCTACAATAGTATCCAAACCTTCCTATTCCATAAAAAAAATCAATGAGATATCCATTCAAGTAGAAATGCACAGGATTTCTCTATAAGAATTCCTGACTAAGAGAAAGGCAGACGAGAAATGAAACAAATAAATAAAATGCCTTAAATTGGCATCCACATAGGGAGGGGTGTGTTCTGCACTTCTGTATTAATGACACCATTCAATTGTCCCTCTGTCCCTCTTTTGTATAGGATACTACACAAAAACGTTCTCAAGGGGATTCAAGGTAGCTCACAATGTTAACAAAAACTAAAATACAATAAATTATACAGTAAAAAACAAATTATAACAGTAATTAAAATACACTCAATGATTAAAGCATGTAAAACTTCACAAACTTTCTCTGCTAAAAACCAGAATTCAGGGACTCAGTTGTGATTATTAAAAGTCTGTGCGAAGAGGTGGGTCCTCAATTGTCAGCAGAAGGATAAAAGAGAGCAGGCCAACCTCAAATCTTGAAGTACAGCATTCCAGGACCCTGGGAACAGCCACAAAGAAGGCCCTCTCTTGTGTTCACACCACACATTCCTGCACGGGAGGAATGAGGAGAGCCTTCTCTGATGATCTTAAGTACTGGAAGGCTGGGGAGGGGGGAATATGGTCTTTTAAATAACCTAGACTCAAAAAGTATAGGGCTTTATGGGTGATAGCCAGCACTTTGAATTGGGCTTGGTACTGGTACAGTACCTTTATCTGTATCTACACCTGTACCTATATCAATATCCATATCTGTCTAAAACTGGTCCCAGTCATCAGTCTGGCAGCTGCAGTATGAACCAGCTGAAGTTTCCAAACTGTCTTCAAAAGTGGCCCCATGTACAATGTGTTATGGTAATCCAACTGGGGTGTATCTAAGGGCATCTGAAATTGTAGCCATATCTGACATCTTAAGGAACAGGTACTGATGCACACGTTCTAACTCTGGAAATGCACTCCTGGACACAGCTGAGACAGACATCCGGGCTCAGGGCTCAGTGTAGGCCCATTTTAATCAATGGAGCTTACAGAACAGTTGATTCTCCAATGATTCAATGGGACTACTTTAGTGCTACTCACTGTGCTAAGAAACGGGATTTTTGCCTCTATGTCACATTTATATTGGGTAATCCCTGTTCTGTAACCTATTTTAATGTTGGGCTTTGCTAAGGGGTTAGGGAAGAGTGACAAAATACACTGTCTCCCTTTCTCCGGCATGGCATGCAGGCAAGATCCTGTTTCCTTAATCACCACTCCCTCCAAAATAGTTGCTTGCATCTTGATAGTAATGGGTGGTCTCAAACATTTTGCAAAAGTTGGGAAAGTAACTTTCTTGGACTGCAAACTTTCGGAATCCTCCAGCCAGCATAGTCTATATGCAAACAGAGAGATATGTGAAAGTGGGGAGAGAGCCAGGTTTATTCAAGACTGACCTGTCCTTGCCCACAAACATAACGGAAATGGTATCTGCAGGTCTTTATGTCTGTTTACATGCCTTTGTTTATGTTAGTCTCCCTTTGCAAGCGGGCTCTTTTGTCTATGTGAATTCCTTCTGTTGTGGTGGTGGTTAAGGAAGTGTTTATGAGACAGGGGAAGCCAATTTTTTTTCCTATTATGCTAGACCTATTTGCCTCCTTGCATATTGTTCTTGTCAGGCTAATTAGATCTATAAATTACACCCATCAAAAGTTAATAACTAGGGAGGCGAGGGTGGAGGAGAGGAAGAGAAACTAAAAGTTCGCAGAAGGCTCTAAGAGAAAGAGAACATTACTGATGCATGTCTCGAAAGGAAAATATAGTTTTGTGATTACACCCATGACATTTGGGGTCAGATGTTGTGAGTTCTACTTCTGACCCCTTGACAGACTTCCTGCATGGCTAGACAAGTCTCCTCACCTCAGTTTCCTCAATTCTGAAACATGAATAACCGGATATTTAAGATACATATGAAGTGGGAAACAACAGTGGGCTACTTCACATTCATAAAGATTTCCAAGACTAGTGGTACGATGTACAGTGTAACTTCAAAACACTGTTGTACTTGGAAAATTTGACATTTTCCTACCATATCACAGGATGAAAGCAATATATTAGATAAAAGAATTTTCTAGACAGAGTATTAGCTGATAATTTAATCTAATGCCAGGGTGTGATTGACACCAATGTTTAAAACACAGTTGTCATCTTCTGTATCCCTTTTCACTCTGGTTTCACACTCATGTTTATATACTTGCCACAATATTTTGTTTTGTTTCTAAAATAAATCATTTATAAATGGCACACCTGTAAGTCTGATGTTTCTGACTCTAGTGACTCTCCTATGAAAATTGCCATAATTCTAGAAAGCTGTAGCCTCTTCTATGCAAGCTGTATAAATCTGAAACCTCTTCTATGCAGATTGCCATAATCCTATATTCAGTATTAGTGATTACGTATGTGATCATCTCTATACTTCTTTTAACATAGAAAGCCATTTTAACATTGAGGAGCCTTGTGGTGCAGTAGCTTAACTGCTGTCCTGCAGCCAAAACTGTGCTCACGACCCGGGGTGCAATCCCAGGTAGTTGGCTCAAGATTGACTCAGCCTTCTATCCTTTCGAGGTTGGTAAAACGAGTACCCAGCTCGCTGGGGGGGGGGCAATGTATAGCCTGCATAATTAACTTGTAAACTGCCCAGAGAGTGCTTTAAGTGTTAGTATGGGGCAGGATATAAGCAGTACACTTTACATCTATACGTACAGTGGACCCTAGACTTACAGACAGCTCCACTTACAGACTTTTCGAGTTACAGACTTCTCTGGCCGCAAAATTTAGGTTCAACTTGCAGCCAGAGAATCGACCTACAAACCGGGAAAAAACCCAAAATGGAACAAAAACAGCCAGTTACGGATTAATCGGTTTTCAATACATTGTAGGTCAATGGAGCCTCGACCTACAGACTTTTCAACCTGCATCCACCGTTCCAATACAGATGAATTCTGTAAGTAGAGGGTCCTGGATGGCACTCTCAGACCCTTGGGAGGCTTTCCCTCCCCCCCCACCGCAAGGCCAGCGGGGGCGAAATCACCAGCTTTCAGGACCCTTCTGAGCCTTTCCAAGAAAGGTCCTGGAAGCCGGCGATTTCGCCCCCGCTGGCCCCATGGAGGGTGGGGGGAGCCTCCCAAGGGTCCTGGAAGGACCACATGCAGCTACCTACAGGTCCTGTGGAGATATTAACAGATAATGTCTGCCTATAGCTATCTCTCTAGAGAAGATTCTTATTTCTCTTCTTCCCTCCCCCCACTTTTTTTCATTCTCACTGGTCTTTTGCCAGTCTGATGCATTTTCAGCTGCTCACTCTCTTCCCTGTATCCTTACCAGCCAGTAGGACTTTAACTTCTTTCCTTCCTCATCCCACACTCCCATCTTTCTTAACTACTGGAAGAGTTGTAGACCTTGCAGAGGGAAGCACCTCATTGTGATGACTAGAGACCCTATGGATAAATCAACACCCTTATCCTGCTCCCTTTCTCTAGTGCCTAGAGATGGCACTGTCAGAATATTTTTTCCTGTTTTCCTCCCCTAAAAATGAGGTGCGTCTTATGGAGAGGTGCGTCTTGTGGAGAGGTGCGTCTTATGGAGTGAAAAATACGGTTATATGTTAACGATAGATTGATAGGGGACAAGACACAGGTCTTTCTGGTTAACAGCGAGCCTACAGAATGATATTGAATATTCTATTCATTATTCTTTCAGGTTTTGTGCTGGTCATTGGATTGGTAACCTTCTATCGCATTGGACCCTACACCAGCCTGTCCTGGTCTTGCTATCTAAACATTGGGGCTTGTCTTCTCGCTACACTGGCTGCTGCCATTCTCATATGGAACATTCTTCACCGACGGGAGGACTGCATGACACCCAGAGTAATCGTAATCAGCCGCACCCTCCGTGCTAGCTTTCGACAAGGTCTGGAGAATGACTATGTTGAGTCACCATGCTGATAACGTGTGGGTGGAGGAGAGGAGACTATCCGGAGAAGATTTACATATTGGATTGCTTTCTATAAATATGACATGTAATTTAAATGCTGAAGAATACCACAAAGTTCACTTTTCAATTAAAGAAGCCCAGCATTATTACCTGGATGGGCTACATCTATAAATGTATACATGTACATTATACACTATCCCTTCCCTCTGATGTACAGTGTAAAATACTAACCATTCAGCTCAGCCATCCTGATGGAATGCCAGTCGAAGGACAGAGAGACTGAAACTATGGCAGATGTGGTCCATGTTAATTTTGTGGGGATATGAAATGAGGGAGACAAAATTCAGTATTCTAACCTCAATTCATGTTTCAGGGGAAGTTATACCATAGTTCAATAGCTGAAAAACAAGCTCAAGGGATTGTTCATAGAAGTTGCCCTTCTTTCAAAACCAACAACACTGGCAGTCTGAAAGTGACAGTAGCTTCTCTCAAGTTACTATTTTCATCCCATACATGTCTTTGTAACATTGATCCATCGAATCAAATAAATTTATTGTCATTGTAAGTATATACATAGTATACCCATACAACAAAATTCACAGATACCCAATACTGAAATCATCCAATACTGAAGATGTATCCAATCTGACTAAAATAATATTTCTGTCCTGAAACTTGGCAAACCCAGAAACTACTAGCATATTTTAACAATTTATAAGGAAAGTGGGGAAAGTTTTTTTTAAAGAAATGAAAGTTTAAGATTTCAAGCTTATCTTCTTCAATATTTCAGAAACTTTACATGCTGTTAAACTGCTGGCAAAGATAACATTTAAGTATAATGTGCTCCAGTTATATAGTTATGTTCATACTCAAACCAAGAAAATGTAGATTCTTTCTGCCATTTCAAAGCAATTACAGTGTTGCCCCCTGGACGATTACCCTGCTTGACGACGAATCCGCTCGAAGTTTTCGCTCTTTCTGCCATTTCAAAGCAATTACAGTGGTGCCCCACTGGACGACTGCCCCGCTTGATGACGAATCCGCTTAACGTTGAAGTTTTTGCGATTGCAAAATGATGTTTAGATGGAGGAATTTTGCTTAATGTTGATCGGCTTCCTGCTTTGGGAACCATTTTTCGCTTTATGACGATCAGCAAACAGCTGATCGTCGGGTTTCAAAATGGCCACTGCCTGTAGAAAACGGCTCCCCGCTGTGTTAGGGACAGATTCCTCACATTACAGGCACCAGAAAATGGCTGCCATATGGAGGATCTTTGCTGGATGAGCAGGTATTTCACCCATTGGAACGCACTGAACGGTTTTCAATGTGTTTCAATGGGTTTTTTATTTCGCTTGACGATGTTTTCAATCTACAGCAATTTCGCTGGAACGAATTAACGTCGTCAAGCGAGGCACCACTGTATTCAGTTTAAAATTAATATGAATTACTGAAGCTAAATGGAAATGGAATGGCAGGTCAAAAAATCCTACCTGTTTAGTATCCTGGAAAGAAAGTGTTATTTCTTATTTAACTGACAAGAAGGCAAAAATAAAAAATAAATAAAAGTCAAGTTCCAACAGTGTTCTTAGACCCAATTCTGATGACGTTTCCCCCCTCCTGTTGCTCCCTCTGCAGAGCCAAAAACCTGCTCCAGAGGGTCCTCCAGCCCTCTGAAACACACTTTTAGGTACCCAAGTAAGGACATAAGAGAGAGTGAGGACTCACAATTCTGGAATGAGCAGAAGAATCTAGTGTACACCAGTGGATTTTGATAACTGCCTTGCAGTCAGTAGTATGTATACCTTTGAAATATTTATTGGCCAAAATCTTGTTGCTTAGCGTAGTAAATTGCACTAGAGCAGGATTATTGTATCAATGAAGACTTAATGAATCAACTCCTTCATAAATTACATTGATTCTAACTGCAACTTACCCCAACCGCTTTTGAAGCTGGGTTTTAACATAATTTGGATGCCAAGTAATAGAGATTAACAAATTCAATGAGACACAATTCTTCTCCTATTGTGTTCTGCGCTCCACAGATATAGACCAGAATACCAAAATGAGAAAAGCAAACGTCCTGTTTCTTTATATCAGTTACAACTGCCAGGTTGTTATTTGTAAAGCTATTCAATTAGTCACTTTGAAAGCATGAAAAACCTATATCAAAAGAAGAGTATTAAAGAATAAATCTAACATTTACATTGAACTCTGTTTTGTAGAACCTTAATTCCGGACAACTAAGGGTACAATTCTGATCTATGCAATTCAAATCACAGCATAATTGTGTTATGCAACAAATTCCCAATTTCTATTTTTGGTGGTGGTGGCAACTACCACCACACTATATAACATGCCTCCAGAATTTCTTAAAACAGGTTTCTAAAGCCATGTTGACTGACCACAGGGGAAAAAATGGACAGCTTCAATTTCCCTGACTTCCCTACTGCAAAAATTCTGTATTGCCTGAACATTAAATATGTTCTAATTATGTGCCATTTTAAGAAAAGATCTAAAATATTCGGATATTTAAGATATGTTATTTCTTTTAATATTGCAATAACTGTACTATAACAATGTGAAATTGTGTGGCCAACTCCGTTGTAATATTTGGAACCATTCTATTCGTATCAGAAATATAAATAAAATTGAGAATGTTCACTTGCGTTCAAGAGGTAAAGAAACAGACAAAGCAGACAAATAACATGGATGGAACAAGCATATGTCCCAAGAAACAGAAGTCTCAGCATGATTTTGTTGACATCTTCCTTTGAATGGCAAATCCTAGTATCATATAACAAACTACATTGATATTTCTTCTGGTTTCAAAGGAGATTTCTCATGCCAGGCTATCATACAAGCAATGTTTGACTATCCCATAGGAATATGAATTTAACTGCATGGCTCTTTGAATACTGTGGGTTTGGGGGGAAACTGCTATGCTGGCTAAAATCAGTCATTAAAAGAAGGAGCAGGATAGAAGGGAGCTGTATTACATCAGATCCGAACCTGCTCCCACCCAGAGACATATTTATTTTATTTATTTATCTGATTTATATCCCGCCCATCTGGTGGTAGCGCTGCGGGCTAAACCGCAGAAGCCTGTGCTGCAGGGTCAGAAGACCAGCAGTCGTAAGATAGAATCCACGGGACGGAGTGAGCTCCCGTCACTTGTCCCAGCTCCTGTCAACCTAGCGGTTCAAAAGCATGTAAATGTGAGTAGATAAATAGGGATCACCTCGGTGGGAAGGTCACAGCATTCCGTGTCTAAGTCGCACTGGCCATGTGACTACAGAAGATTGTCTTCAGACAAAACGCTGGCTCTATGGCTTGGAAACGGGGATGAGCACCGCCCCCTAGAGTCGAACACGACTGGACAAAAATTGTCAAGGGGAACCTTTACCTTTATCTTTACCATTTGGTATATTCTACCACTCTGGGCGGCTAGCCACTATCCTATAAAAACGTATGCTATCGTATAAAAAAGTGAAGGTAGTCCTAAGTACCGTAATTTCCAATATTCCTAGACTGAGAGGGGCTTGAATACAGCACAGCTTCAGGTATGCTAACCCACAGCTATTTTGACTAGCAGGATTACATCTTAAACTTCCAGGTCTCCCTCTCTGCCAGCGGCAGGCAGCAGGTCTCCACTCTTAATTGGTTCTCTATTTGAGGTTCCTTCCTATGTTTCTCCAGAACAAACAAACAAATAAACAAAATCTCAGCTCATGAGTACATCTGTGGCTCAACTTCCCCTTTTTCAGGGAAGATCCTAGTTATGTGTTCCCAAGGGGAACACAAGGGGCTGAAAAATTTGAAATAAGAACAATCAATTGTGTCTAAAGAAATGAAAATGCAAGGATGCAACATCCCAACAGTCCAATGAGTCTTGGACCAGCTAACCTGCCCCCATTGTTCCTATATCTTTAGGCTCATCATATTGGACCTGTTAGTCATCTACTAACATCCAATAGCATGCTACTGTTCAAACTTAAACACTCACCTCTCCTAAATGATAAATCTGATGGAAAAGGTAATTTGGAAATGAAGGACAAAAGATCTATATTTGCATGATTTCAGTATAAGTGGATATGACAGAGGAGAGAAAACGTAACATTAAAAAAAAACAACACAACTCAACACAAGGCAACCAGGAGCTGCATTCACAGCAAGTCCAAACCAATCGTACCATGTTTAAAACCCAAGGACTACTTTCTTCCAGAAATCTCTTAGCAAGTCCAGGTTCCAGACGAGACTGAGAAAAAAAACATTATTGAGATAAACAAAACCAACCATTAAATCTAATCAGATTTTGATCTTACCTTTTGATGAGCTTGATGGATTTGAAGGCCTCATCCATATCCCCAATTGTGAGATAGAAGCTAAAGTTGAGTATAGCATCACAAGTGGCCTTATCGCACTCTTCTAAGCCGATGAAATCTCGCATTGGCCTTCTGGTTACCATCTGGTAGACTGATATTACACCAGGTTCCGCTTCATCTGTTCTCTCAGCTTCGGGCTAAAAGGAGAACATGAATCACCTAGTAAACAACTTTTTTTCTCTGTGTAAAAACAAACTTTAGCAATTTTCAGACACATGAAAGGCAGCTAATTTGCTGTTGGAAATATTTCCTAAATTCTGAGAACAGTTAGAGTCGTATACTGTATTTCTGTCATTATTCATTACATTTTACTGAGTTTTCCTCAACATCTCTGTGTTGAAATCACAGCCTCCTCAGCGGTGGCCCTATAGCTATGGGGCTTCCAGTTCATTTACTCTCAGTACAAGCCTCTACGAAGGCCTCCATACCTTATCTCTTCACTGTGGGTCTGACCTTATAGGATAGGGATGGTTTTTAAAAAATTTATAGCAGTTTTCTATTTGAAGTGCTGGATCTATCTCTCATAACTTCAGTTTGAAAATTGTTTTGGGAGGACTGGATCTTAAGAAATGGTTTATAAATAAATATCTGTTTTATCTGAAGAAACAAAAAGAAATAGAGCAAAATAAATTTGAAGAAAAGGTAGCTCATGATACTCACATAAGGTTTATAGACAGATCCTTTCCAAAATAATAACTATTTGCAGCAGAAATAAAAACAGAAAGATAACAGAAGCAAAAAAAAACATAAATGATATGAAAGTAAAACAGGGAAAGCAGATATGATGTAGCAACTATCTTAGAAATGACCACACAGAAATGATGCTGTAAAATTTGAAAGCCACTGTGTTATGTTGAGCTAGATCACTGCAGCTACACAAGTCTTCTTTAACAGAGCAAAAAATTATTATATCCAGCAAGGAGCATGTACTCTACATGTACTCTGGTAAAATGTGGATTTAGGTTTCATGTCCCCTCACCCTGATCTAGTCTCTATTTCACCTGGCATTCAAAGAGGGATTCACTGCATGTCCAGCAAGATTTCGTGCTGTATATCCCAGACAAGAAAAATGTCAGCCTGTGTCCTCCTGTGCCACGTTATTACAAGGAATGTAAGTATACTTGCTAAATTCTGCATTCTCATAGATTTAGGCTGTCTCAACTTGACAAACCCATCCTGGTGAAGACTGTTCAAGCTCTGTGAGACTTCTCAGCTCCAGAACAGAACAAAAAAAGAGGCTCTGTTTTTTCCCATCAATATCCTTAATTTGCAGAGACCTCGATGAAAATACGGATTAGGTTCGTAAGTCAAGACATCACTGTGTTAGGGGAACAAATAAATACCAACCTACTGTATTCCCCCAATACTGGCCACCTTGCACTGGTTATTGGCCCATTTCGATATCAGGTTCAAGGCACTTGTTTTGATGTATAAAGCCCTAAACAGTTTGGGACCTCAATATATGGTGGAATGCTTCCTTCCAAGAGGGGATGCTCATCCTACCACTGCATCTCGGGCCAGGCGGTTGAGGATGCTGACCCCAAGGGAGGCCCGGAAGGAGAAAACAGGAAACCGGGCCTTCTTGGTGGTAGCTCCTACGCTTTGGAATGCACTGCCACCCGAGATTTCCCTGCCCCCTCCCCTGGAGATTTTTCAGGAGTCTCTAAACACCTTCTTATTCTGGCAGGCTTTTAAAATTATGCCGCACCTAGTAGGTCCACTATAATGTATGCAGAACATTTACAGCCATCCAACCATTTTTCAATTTTAATTAACTTGCATTTGTTATTTAATTTGAATTGTATGTTTGATAGTTGTTTTAGTCTTGTACACCATCCAGAGTGACCATCAGCCAGATGGGTAGTTAAGAAGTCCAATAAATAAGTAAACATTCGTAAAGCAATAGTTCAGATGCTCTAGTCCAGTCAGGATGCCTATGCGTGTGGTAGAACCTCCAGTCATCAGCTCTTCGTAAAGCGCTGACATGATAATTCTTAAATGGATTCCACACACACACTCCAAACAGCCTTCATACATTACTCAGACATTTTTGTCACTTTATAAATAGTAATACCTTACTTTTAGTTTAGTTTAACCAGAGCACATGAGATACAGGAAAAAAGGTTTCAAGGATGTCCTTTTTAAACTGCTTACCTTTTTGGAAAAGTAATAATGTGGCACCTCCATGCCCAGGAGAGATTGGTAAGATGAGGGCAGCGGAAAGCTGTCCTGGAGCAAAAGGCCATGCTCATCCGTACTGAAGAAGGATACAATCAACACTTCCATCTGGAAAGGGAAATCAGGCACTGTCTGGGTTATACGGTGCAATATTCTTTTTTTTTACGGCTTGTTTTTATTTTCCATTTCACTTGGCAGAGTTTTCTGCTAAGAAACCAAGCACACCTGCTACAGATGGCTAAACTACAGGCTTCCTCTCTAAAGCTTGTGAATCATAACACAAAAGTCAGTTTACATGCTAGGAGCCATGCAACAGACAACTCTGCCTTTTAGGAAACAGCCACCTCATTTTCCAACAACCAGCTCTCTGGAAACATTTATCCTGGTGCTCTTGCAGATATTTCAAGAGTTTCTCCAACCCAAATCTTTGTTATTTCAAATTTATTTTACAGTGCCGTGTCCAGTACTGGACACTACACTTTAAGAAGGACGCCAACAAACTGGAGAAAGCTCGGAGGAGGGCAACAAGGATGGTCAGGGGACTGGAAACTAAGCCCTAGGAGGAAAGGCTGAAAGAACCAGACAGGTTTAGCCTTGAGAAAAGAAGACTATGGGGAGAGACAGGATAGCACTTTTCAAACACATGAAAGGTGGACCTACAGAGGAGGGGCAGGATCTGTTCTTGATCATCCCAGAGTGCAGGACATGTAATAATGGGCTCAAGCTACAGGAAGTCAAATTTCAGCTGAATATCAGAAAAAACTTCCTAATTGTTAGAGCAGTACAATGACGGAACCAATTACCTTTGGAGGTGGAGAGTGCTCCAATGTTGGGAGGCATTCAAGAGAAAATTGGACAAACATCTGTCCAAATTGCTTTGATTTGTATTCCTGCATTGGACTTGAGGGCCTTATAGGCTCCTTCCAAATGAATTACTTTATGATTCTATGATCTTTTCCCCCCACCTTTTTCCATAAAAAGATCCAAGGCTTAGGCAACTGTGTTTCCCTGAAAATAAGACAGGGTCTTATATTAATTTTTGCTCCAAAAATACATTAGAGCTTATTTTCAGGGGATTTTTTTTTCATGTACAACAATCTACATTCAAATACAGTCCTGTCCTCTTCTTCTGGTTGCTGCACAATGGTGGAGGGCGGGGTTTCACTTAACTGGGGCTTATTTTGGGGGTAGGGCTTATATTACGAGCACCCTGAAAAATCATACTCAGGGTTATTTTCAGGTTAGTTCTTCTTTTCAGGGAAACAGGATACTACTATATCTAGCAATGATGGAAGGTCCCAAAAGAAGTAATTTTATTCAGACTGTGAGAGTGGTGTTTCAGCCCAGTAATCCAAAACATTATGATTGTTTGTAGTGATGTTGAACTCCCTCCTAGAGATTGAATAATCAGGTTTTATTGGCCTAAATCCAATTGCTGGTCCATTTTACAGTAGATCTGGTGGAACAATGGCACTTTAGTATTGACTTACTATATTCCTACTGGGTAAATGGGTCAACTTTCTTTGGAATTAATAAATGACTGAGGCCATTGTATTTCACATCTGTGACAAGAACATACCTGCATGGCATTTTCTGAGGTATATGACCAATACACCACTAACTGCCTCCTTTGCAAATTCACCTAAGTCCCAAATCTAGAGACACATATTAAAGAGAGTGCGAAGTAACAGAAACTAATCAGTTTGCCGAAGAGAAATTACAAAAAAGAGAAGAGGGAAAAAAGTAAAGAAAGGAAACAGTGGGAGAGAGGACACCGTCCCATACAGAACCAGATCACAGGTCCATCCAGCCATATGTTGCTGACAAGGCCTGGAAATAGCTTTGTAGGGTTACAAATGCAGGTTTTCTGTACCCCAGCTGCTTGTACCTGTGACTGAACCTGAGTCTTCCACAAGCAAATCAGGAGTCACACCAGTAACTACATTCCTTCTTAATGATGCTGCTTAATCTGATTCCAAAAGACCTCCTGTATGGAGAATTAGTGTAGAGAAATCACCCCAGAGGGAGACCACAGCTGCGATACAAGGAGATCTGCAAGTGGGATCTGAAGGCCTTAGGAATGGACCTCAACAAATAGGAAACCTTGACATCTGAGTGTTCAGCCTGGAGGCAGGCGGTGCATCACGGCCTCTCCCAATTTGAAGAGACCCTTGTCTAGCAGGCCGAGGCAAAGAGGCAGTTCCGAAACTAGCAATATCAGGGAGCTGGACAGGGGACAGACTGGATTTGTCTCCAATGTGGAAGGCATTGTCACTCTCGAATTGGCCTTCTCAGCCACACTAGACGCTGTTCCAAGTCCTCCATTCAGAGCACGTTACCATAGTCTCTCGAGACTGAAGGATGCCTAATCATCTGGAAGCATCGGGGGTTCTTAGCTATCTGTCATCAGTTGGTCCTCACAAGCCATGATAGTCACTTGAAGAGGAGGGAAGTATTTCACACACCCACAGACACATTTCTGTATTTAGATGACCTCTTCATTTAAAGGGAGGAGTTTCAGTCAATATACAATGTGAGATATCTGAATCCTGACTGAACTCTGTTTCAACTTGGACAGTCAAGATTTAACTGACAGGCACTGACTCTCAGCCTTCTGAATGAGTCTCAAGACTCATAGGACAACCAACCGGAAATCCTAGCTAAACTTCAGTATCAAGAGCCATTCCGTGGACAGTGATAGGAGATGGGAGAAAACTATACCAGGCTTTCTGATGACTCTTGATTCTTCTCCAGCAACTGCTGACTTGGGTCAGGAACTGTTTCACAGACAAAAAGTCTGGACTCATTTTGATCCCAGAAGTGATTAACAGGGATGCGGCCACATAGCTGCGAATATACAGGGCTGTTCTTCCTGTTGGGACAACACAAACATTAATCCAGAAAATAACAATTTTTAAAACACACCTGTAAATAACACCTGAAAGATAAGGGAACAAAAATAAAATGTGGACCACTGAATTTTCTGGATTGGATATGAAAAATACAATCAGGCACTTGGCCTCCAGATCAGGCTCTCATGATTAGATTTGGCTACGGATAAAAGTAGCATTTCTGTAACAACACACATTCTTCAGTTTGTTATTTAGATCATGAATGCATGAGTTGCAGTAGGTGTTCCCTTAGTAGAGTTGGTCATCTTATACATGAAAGAAGTGAGACGTCTCTGGGTTGGAAACAGAGATGAGCACTGCCGCCTAGACTGGACAAATTGCCGAGGGGAACCTTTACCTTTACCTTACCTCTAGAGTCCTAGTCTGTCACTCAATCCCAGTGTTTCCCAACCTGGGGGTCATTTCCCAAGGGGGGGGGGTGTCACAGGTCGCCTTATATGTATTATAGATCTTGGTAAATAATTTCTTCCTTGATCTTTCAGAGTGGAAAATTAAAGTTAGCATGTATGTGTATGAATGAGTAACAGGCCCTTTGGGGAAGAAATAAACCCCTATTTTCTGAGAAGGAATGGCTTTACCCCATTAAAAATGACTTTTATGCAAACATGATGGGTGGTGTGGTGCAAGGTTACTTAGCCATTATAAACGGGGATTGTAACTCAACCACTGCTCTATCCACTACACGATACTGAGAATTTTAAAAAAAATTGATAGGCTGTCATATATAAACTCTTTAATGGGTGGTTTGGAGAGTAAATATATTTTAACACTCAATGTAAACAATACTTTTAAAATCCACATCTATGTTGTGCACCTTGAGAAGAATTCTTACCCCTTTGTTTCCTGTCCAAATGAAAGGCTCTCCCTACCGTTCTTCTGCATGCCAGACTGGAAATCAAATAGGGTGACTGTGTCCATTTCAGTGTCATAGAAACAAATCTTGGAATCAAGACTCCCATCAGTCTACACAATATAAATAAGAGGAATTAAAATAGAAAAGGTGATTTATTAATCATAATGCCTATTATGATGAATGATCACTAAAATTAATTTGGATGGACTGAAAATAGCAGAACGGTGTGGCATGAAGTGCAGTTGAGCTACTCACAAGCTCTCTTCTTGTCTTCTACGTGACTTTAATGCAACATGTGGTATAAAACAACACAGCCTTACTAGATTCCAAACACTGAAAATGAGGCAATGTAAGGAAGTTAGATTCCTTGTTTCCTAGACTTTCCAAGAAACGAGGTATTAATTATTCCAGCCGGAATTCTGTAGGACCATCCCAAAATCAATTCCACTGTAGAGTCGGCAGTCTGCCATTCTGCCCTGCCTCCTCGGGTTGGAAAAATGGTCAGAGTGAGAGAGAAGGGGAAAAAATGTGCGACTGCCCTTAGGTGCATGGTTTTCTTCAAGAATATTTTGTTCTCTAAGGCTTGATTGGGTTCCTTTCCCAGATCTTTGGGTTTAAGAATTCTTAATAGAAGCAGATTCTTTGACAAGAGAGAGAGTGTGTTTTTTTTTTCATAAAAGCAGCATAGAATCATATTGTTGGAGGTGACCACAAGGGTCATCAAGTCCAGTCTGCTTAGTAAAAGCAGAAAATATACAGCTAAAGCATTCCTGACAGGTGGTTGGTTATCCTACATCCGTTTAAAAGTTCCGAATGAAAGAGAGTCCATCTTCTTCTAAGGTAATTGGCAAATGTACTGGATCCAGAATTGTCCTGATGATTAACTCTTCAACATGTTTTGTTATAATTTTTGTTAGGATATTAATTCCTGTTTTTTTAACCATACAGATGAAAAATGCAAAATGCATGTTACAGTATTTTGTTTCTGATTAATTTTGTTCTCTTACTCTATGGTTGCAATGCTGCTACTTACCATAGTAATTCACACTAAAGTAGGCCCATTCAATCACTGAGGATTTGGTGAGATAATACCTTTGTTAAGTTCCACTTATTCAAATGAGCCTATTCTAGTTGTGACTTACTACACTAAAGTAACTCATAACTAGAGCAGAAATGTTACTTCATGAGCATGATGAGTTTTGTCATATTCTATGGGGCTTGCTTTCTAATTACTCAATGCAACATAAAGTAACACATCTAAATGTAATACTATTAGGAATCTGAATAGATAGTATAAACTTGGGCCTGGTTCTGAACTGAGAGTGTGGGCAGAATCACCAAAGAACTGAGTTTTGAAAATGTCCACCCAGGTGTCTCCCTGGCTGAAACCTACAACTATGCAGAAGAAGAGTACAATTCCAGGATATTGCTAGATTTCCACCTGAACCATATCAATGATTAAGGCGAATCCTCTGATACTTCTAGGAGGTAAAATATTCTCTCTCTCTTTTGCCCCTAGATGGTCAAACCAGAATTGCAAGAGATTTCTATCATGCCTCCAACGACAACAGACTTAGTGTGAACTTATCCGGTATATTCATTTGAAACACTGGAATTTATGCTGGAGTTGACTTGCCAAATCCCCATTGATTAAATGGGCCTATTCTAGTGAGACATACTGTAGAATCATACAATCAATGGAGTTGGAAGAGGCCGATAAGGCCATCAAGACCAGCCCCCTCCTCAATGCAGGAATCCAAATAAAAGTAGATCCGACAGACGGTTGTCCAGTTTTCTCTTGACTGCCTCCAGTGTCGGAGCACTCACCACCTCCCAAGGTAATGGGTTCCAGATCTTCTTTGTTTTCCATACTCCTGAAATTCTTATATAGACACTGAAAATCGTGTGATTTGTGGTCCACTTTCATTTGTATGTTTTTATGGAGATTATTATTACTGTGAATAAGCCTTCACTCATAGCCTTCGAGCTTGGGTCTCCCTCTCCACTGCAATTCAATTTGCTGATGAAGTTCTTCATTCTGTGGCCAAACCCATTCTTCCTAGTCCTTGTGATTTGCAGCCCATCGCTTCCCAGTAATCCATCTTCTAGGAAGCATAGTCAGTGGTCCAAAAATCCGGATGCTTTCTATCAACACCACCTTCTTAGCCTGTAATCTTTCCTTTCCCTTTCTACTCCTCTTCTGAGTAGTGTTAGGATGGAGAAGAACACTATCTGGGCCCCAAAGTCATTGAGCTTCCTTTCCAGACCTTCAAAGTCTGGTGTGATTTCTTCGTAATTCCTATTGGCTGTGTCATTTGTTCCCATGTGGATGAGAAGTAAGGGATATACATCTGTGGGGTTTATGAGCGATAGCAATCCTTCTGTCACATTCCTAATCCATCCTCCACGGATCTTTGTGGCATAATTTACTTTCAATCCCATGCAGTAGGGGAATCTCCCACTACAACTACTCTTTCCTTCTTCTTTCTATAGGATAGGGGATCAGTGAATCAGGCTGAGCTTCCATCTGTCTCATATCCTCCTAGGGGGTCTTCCTCTGCATCCTATCTGCCAGTTTCCTCTTCAATAACATGAAAAGGATTTTGCAATCCCATTGGTGAAGAGCATCTTCTCCTTCTTTTGCTCCTAAATGTGATTCTTTTCCATGGTGCTTCCTCCATTATGTCTGTTGTCTCTTCAGCATTCTCCTCCTCTGCTTTGTCTTGCTGTTCTTCCACCTCCAGTGTCTCTCTTGGCTGCTGCTGCTGCTCGAGAGTTCTGACTATGTACTCTTCAGCTTCTCTCATAGCCTTAAGCATGGCCACACAATGCTCCAGTTCTTTTGCTCTTTCTTCCAACAGTGCTACCAGTTTGTACTTGCTGTATGTATATACCGTGCCGTTCTCAGGCATGAAGACAGACATTGCACACAATTTGCAGGTCACCACCACGGAAGTGTCTCTTACCTCCATAATCCCTGTTACCTTTTTACTTTCTTCTGCATTGAGCAAGTCCAACCCCTTGCTCAATGCAGGAATACAAATCAAAGGATACCTGTCAGGTGGTTGTTCAAGAGAAACTTAAGACAACCACCTGCCAGATATTGATTTGTACTGTATTCCTGCATCGAGCAGAGAGTTGGATCTGATGGCCTTATAGGCCCCTTCCAGCTTCACTATTCCTGACAAAGTTTTAAATGAGTTTCCAGCTGTAGCCTTACTTCAAGAATAAGTGAAAATCAGGGTATGAAACCACAACACTCATTCAAGTAGTGCCAAGCCATCTCAACACAGTCAGGATTTACTCCAGCAAAGATACAGCCTTCGTCTAATCAATGGGCATCCCATTCAGACTTCAGTACCAAGAAAAATGGAGTCAAGACTTACCTTGTTCATGAGGATGCTAACTTGATTGCCACTTGCATTGCACTTTACAGACGCAATCCCAACAGCGCCTGGAACCAAGTCAGCCAGCGCCTTGCTGCTGATGTGTACTTTTGCCTCCCTGTGGAAAGATGAGGCACTTAGGATGGGTTGAACAATGTATTCTTCAAAACAGCCCCCCCAGGTCTTGTCAGTTATAATAAAATCCCTTAGTACCTAATGTGAACATTCACTGTGATGTAGGTGATCAAGTGATGGAGTCAGGAGACCTGGGTTCAAATCTCCACTCAGCCATAGAAACTTCTGGTAGGGGTGCAGTTAAACATCACACTTACCTTGAAACCCATATTAGGGTCACATAAGTCAATTCCAAGTAGAAAGCACATCACACAGGTATCCAAGGCGACATTAAGATTTCTGTCTTTAACAAAGCTGAATATGAAAATATAAGAATCTGGTCTATCAGATCTAATATTCTATTTACATGGGGTCAACCAGATGCCTCTGGGAAGCCTACCAGCAGGACAGGAATACCACTGCACTCTCTGCCTTATCTTCCCCAGTAAATGAAGGACAGAGACATCCTGCTTTTGATACTAGAGGTAAAATATAGCCATCCTGCCTAGGAACCATTGATGGTCATAGCATCCATAATTCTATTAATTCCTAATGGGCAGAGAAAACCCAGTTACAAGGAATGTGAAGAGGCACTTTCTTCTTAATCATTCCTGTCTCACTGTAGGGCCACTTCACACCTTCTGCCCAACATGGTGTGTATCCTCAAGTTTTCTCTCTCTTTCTTGAACACAGAAGCAGTCAAAAGACACACACTGGTTTACTAAGGCTAACTGCAGATTCCCACTCTGTCGGTACATGATAAAAGCAGTACAATGCAGTACCCACATGTGTGCACAAGTGATTAAGATCCACACAATAAATAAGCAACCAGCAGTGAGGTATAAAGGCCCACACATGATCTGTAGTGATATTAGATTGTACCATATCAGAGGGAACGGCAAGTTTTTTTTCTTCCCACGCAAATTATGGCACACCAAATCTATGCTAGCAACAGCACCCTTTTCAATTTCTACATGATAGCTACAGAAGAGATTTTACAAAATACATGGCACAATGTGTAAAATTACTAGTTTTGGATAGCAGTCTGGCACACCTTTGGAGTATCAAATAGTGTGAAATTAATGGCATCTACAAAATTTCTACATACTGAATAATGTCTGGAAATTACTGTACCGAGTTCCACAGATCTGGGATCAAACCCATATTTTAGGTCTCTTTTAAGCACATACTCTGAGTCTACAGCATTATCTCAGTCAAATCCTCATACCAAGTTATGTATCGTAAGAAACCCAGGTTTGTTTTGTTTTTTAATAAACAGCAAGTCTCTTCAGCATTGCAAAGAAAACTGAGGAACTGAACAGAGAACATGTCATGGATATTTTTAAATGAGGGAAGTCTTGCCTTCTTCTTTCTCTCTATGTCTTACTGGTTTATCCTTTATGGCAACAGTGCACTTATTTTGCCCTCCTTTCCCCCCACTTCAGTTCTAGTCATAGAACTATAATGCCAAAAAAGGAGTATCAATAACATAGTCACCTAAACCAGTAAGTACTCATCTGACATTCAAAATCTGATTTTTTTAAAAAATTACAGGTTTAAGCTGGCATTTCCCCAGATGCAGATGTAATTACGCAGATTGAAATATACCTGCTGAAATCAAATGGAGCAAGTCAGCTATAACTAATTTAAGTCCCATTTATTTCAATATGTCTATTCTAAGCATGACAAAATCTGGATCCAGTCCCCCAACTTGGAAAACTGGACCAGCCATACTCCTAACAGTCTTCCCCAAGAAATAAAAATAGCAGTGTTCCACCCAAAAAGAACCTTGAATTTTGAAACCTGGATGGAATATCTTGTCTAATCCTAAATTCCCATCCTCTCTGTCCTTGTTTCTTGATTCCACCTGTTCCATTTCTCGTTTTCTTTTCTTTCTTTCTCTGACCCTCTCTTTCACTTCATCTAGAATTACTGAGTTTTCATGGGACTTGGGTTTTATATCTCAGGGCAAAAGTGGTGGTCTTGTTCAGTTTGCATCGCTGTATTAAAACAACAACATGCTTTAAGTTTAAAACAGAATTAATCACAATCAAATATCACTAAATTGTAGTAAATTCTTGTCTATACCTGCGAGAAAGATCAAAAATTTTAAAGTGGGCCAGGTCTGTTCCCACGGTCAAGAAATTCCCACAGACATCCAAGAGGCATGGATTCCCTTCGGATTCGGAAAACACCAGCAGCTGCTTAACAGTGCCCTGGGGAAGAAGAAGTGCAAACTCGTTAAAACACTTGGATCTCTCTTTCATTGTTATGTTACCACAAAGACCACTTGATCCAGCGCTACCACACAGCAAATAACCAACAGCATTATATTGACAAGCTGCAAACAGTTAGGGAATTAAAAGATTTTAAAAGAAAAATAAATTCGATGCGGGGGGTGTCTTTATACAATTAGTTCTACAAATCTGGAACTTTAACACAACACATTCGCTTAATATTCTTCTTGCTTGACAAGGCATGTCCCCAAATGAGAGAAAAATAGAAAGGGAGCAGTGTGGGGCCTCTGCTTTCTATATGGAGGGGGAGTGTCATATCTCTGTCTAGGATTTAGCTGTCAGATGTGCATATCTGGTCTTCTCATACTCCTTTGGAACCTTGCATGCTTACAAGAAGGATTTCAAAATGTTTTAGCCACTATTGTTACTGATCCAATTTGTTTGGTAAGATTGCCTCTAATTTTGCTGAGTGTCACCTTCAATCATCCTCACACAAAGTCTGTTTGCTTACTTGCCAGGTGCGAACCTGAACCCGATTTGGCTCAACCGTGTAAATGTTTTCTTCGTGCATAGCCAACAAAGGGGACTCGCAGGCAAAAGATCCTGTAACCATATACAGAAGAATTTCAGTCTTAACACACTTGACACATTGAACTAAACATTATGTCCAGATAGTTTACAAAGTACTTGTTCCCTTAAGTAGTTTCTAGGACACAGAAAATGTGGATACTTCCCACTTTTTATTGATACTGATTTTTCTATTAGTCCCTATAGCACATATCATGTTCAAGTACATACAATTCTATTACAATACATTTTAAAAGAAGAATTAAGCATGTACTACCGAAAGCCTGCACACTTGCCAAGACTTTTCCTATTTGCCATATTAAGTAAAGAATCTCTAAATGCTGAGTCAGGAAAAATACTGGCTCCCTTTCAGAGTTGTGTTGAGAGGCTGCTGCTTCTCAAAATGGCTGACGCCTCTCTGCTCGTTCTCGACTTTTAGCTGTTTGGTGCTCTGCTCACACAGAGTCCAGCTGTTCCGGGGTTACCAAGGCACTGTGAGGAGCAGGGCTTGGTCTACTGTACCTGGTGACTTTGTCACCTTCAATCATCCTCACACAAAGTCTGTTTGCTTACTTGCCAGGTGCGAACCTGAACCCGATTTGGCTCAACCGTGTAAATGTTTTCTTCGTGCATAGCCAACAAAGGGGACTCGCAGGCAAAAGATCCTGTAACCATATACAGAAGAATTTCAGTCTTAACACACTTGACACATTGAACTAAACATTATGTCCAGATAGTTTACAAAGTACTTGTTCCCTTAAGTAGTTTCTAGGACACAGAAAATGTGGATACTTCCCACTTTTTATTGATACTGATTTTTCTATTAGTCCCTATAGCACATATCATGTTCAAGTACATACAATTCTATTACAATACATTTTAAAAGAAGAATTAAGCATGTACTACCGAAAGCCTGCACACTTGCCAAGACTTTTCCTATTTGCCATATTAAGTAAAGAATCTCTAAATGCTGAGTCAGGAAAAATACTGGCTCCCTTTCAGAGTTGTGTTGAGAGGCTGCTGCTTCTCAAAATGGCTGACGCCTCTCTGCTCGTTCTCGACTTTTAGCTGTTTGGTGCTCTGCTCACACAGAGTCCAGCTGTTCCGGGGCTACCAAGGCACTGTGAGGAGCAGGGCTTGGTCTACTGTACCTGGTGACTTTTTTCCCCATAGGAACGCATTAATTAAATTTCAATGCATTCCGATGGGAAACCCGCCTCGCAAAATGTATTGCGAGGCATCCAAAGCTCACAAGACCCGTTCGTCTTGCGAGTTTTTCATCCCACGAGGCATTTGTCTTGCGAGGCACCACTGTAATAATAATGAAGCCCCACATAAGAATAGAAAAAGTGCTACAATTGTAGCACTGTAAAGAGAGTAAGCTAGTAGCAATGTGTATTTTTACCCAACATGGACACCCAAGTCACTCTATTTATGTTTATTCCTCTCACCTGGACATCGCAAGGCGGTACCCAAGAGTTGAAAGACAACAACTTGTTTTCCACTCCAGAATGCTACAGCATCCTAAGGATTTTAAAAAAAAAACCACCCCAAATTATTTTTTTGAAAATACATAAAAATGCTCCAGAGTGTGCATCTACACACAACCATCTCTCAGTCAAACTGCTTGTTACAACTACTATTAGACGTGGGATATCCATATTCGTCTCCCAGAGGAGATGAATAGGAATATTGGCACCACAGGTGCCTGGGCCGTTTGGACCCTCCCCTGACGACTAGCCAGTCCACTTACCGCTTATGGTGTGACACAGGTGGCCATTGTCGTTCATGATGCTCCAATCGCAGAAGTAGCCTGGCCGGCACTTCCCCACCTCCCTGCATAGCCAATCACTCTGGCAAGGGGGTGGAATGACAAGTCTCTCCACTCAGCTGCTGCTTCCATGACTGGAGCATAGCGAACAACAATGGCCACACATGCCGCACAGCGAGCAGTAGGTGGACTCGCTCGGGGGGGGGGAGGATCCAAACAGCCCAGGCACCAGTGGTGCCGACATTCATATTTGTCACCCTTTGGAGATGAGTACAAATATCCAATGTCTACTTACTATCTAGTGTGTGGTTTCAGCCTCCTAGTTTCCTTTAATAACAATAAAGGCTTGAATGTGTGCGTGGAGGCTGGAACACGAAACATGGGCAGGTTTCTCCCCTACTTCAAAAACATTCCTTCTTGCATGGTTATGGGCTTTTCATTGGCACAGACGTAAGAGTTCTTGTATTATTTGCAGCCATATAGAGAGAGCACTTGTCCGCGAATGGTTGGAACTGAGGAATTCATGATTATTCAATTGGTTTAAGTGGGTTTACTTGAAATATGGGACGACTAGTGTGGTGTAGTGGATAGAGTGGCAGTTTAGGTCTCAGGAGGCCTGGTTTTGAATCAGCCACGGAGGCTCACTGGGGGTGTGGAACTGGTGAAGCCACTCCTTAAATATTGTATTTACCTTGAAAGCCCTATTATGGTTGCTGCAAGTCGGTTCAGACTTGACAGTACATAACAACAGCTAGGTATGACTAAGTCTGCATCCAACTGAAGTTGTTTTGCATCCTCTACCCCAAAATCATTCTGGTCAATATATCTATTGGTTGTGATACAAATTACCTTAGTGGTAAACACTCCTTTCACATGCATGTCAATGCGGAGGTTGTCAGTTATCTTGGTGCTGAAGAAGGTGACGTTGAACAGGTTTGGTGAAACTTGTACCACTGCTGTTTGCTTGCTGAAGTGAGAAGACATGGCCTGCTCACTAAGAATGGCCACAGAGCTGGTTGTGTTTACAGCCAGCAAATTCTTCTTGGATCCCCACTGGGAATAACATGAGGAAACAAAAATTAAGAGCAACTAAAACCCAGATCAATGACAGTTCGCATGCAGGTCATCCATTTTTTGGACCACCAATCACTGCTTCTCCTACCATCTAGCTACTTTTTAAAAAAAGGTAAACAACAAGAGTTGTTTACTTGAAATAAAAGTTCTGCTTGGCTTCCTGGAACACACATCTGCTTGCTAATGAGGTAGGAAGGGGCATGTTTTCCAATTTTACAAAAATACCTTAAAGGCAAACAGGGCTTTCTTTACTATTTTGTCACAGTGGCGGGAGAGGGAGGGGATTTGGGGGGCATCAGCTGTGTTGCTGTGTGGTCCTTTGCCCCCAGAAGTTGCTCACATCTGATTGAAAGATTACGTTTCAACAGAAAGTGAACACAATGCTTTTCAACAAGGAAACTGAATCATGAAATCGAAATAGTAGCCTCTACTGTGCAAGTACTTAAGAGCTCATGTAGCACTTAAACATTCCATAGACACTCATTCCTGTGCTTCTACAAAAGTTTGCATGTACTGTTTGTTCATCATCTTTAAATTTACAGTAATTGCTTTTCCCCCATACAGTACTCTAGAACAGTATAAAGCAACCCTTTGGAAACCAATCCTTTTTTACAGCGGATTTCCATTCACCTAGTCTTTTCTTTTAAATGCTACATTGGTTGAAATCCAGTAGTAAGTTACAACTAGAGTAGACCTATTAAACCAATGGAACTTACATATGGAATAGACTCATTAAATCCCCACTGATTCAGTGGGCTTACCCTAGCCACGATTAACTACAGTATTGGATTTCAGCCACTGTTTGATCTCAATTCCCAAACAGTTGGGTATTTGAATTTTAAATCGTTCCACTTAACAACCAAAAGGATGACAGCTATCAAATGTGATATCCTGAGGCAGTGCAGCTTACTTTAGAAGTAAGACTATTAAGTAAACCCGCTAGAGTACTGTGAAGCACATTTACTTTTCCTTAAAAGCCCCAACTCACAAAATCACCTTATGGCACTTTCCACAGGGATACAAAATCAAGCGTCAATAACAAATTTTACTAAGACAACAAAGAGTTCTTGTTATACCTTAAAGATGAACCAGTTTTATTTGGTATAAGCGAGAATTTAATAATCCCTTTTAAAAATCTCATATCACATGTCAACTTGTCATTAACTGCTATTTCCCAGATCTCATTGTTTTCTGATTACCTGCTGTGTTTTGTATAAACTTTCAGAGTCACTGAACCTGTGAATCACCTCAATTTATCTCTCCTCACACCCCCTCACTCACTGGGGCAAATACTGATGCATGGTGGAAAAGTTGGGGAAGAATGCCCTCTGGTGGAGCACTTTACCTATTTCATATCATGCAAAATCCAAAGAAACAAAAGAAAACAGACAAAAAGATGTGGCACCTTAAAGGCTAACTATTATATTTTAATGTGAGGTTTCTTGGACAAATCCACTTCATCAGATGATGGTTAAAAAAAAGTCATATGGGAAAAATGACAAAGAGGACTTGTTCTACGAAAGCTCACATTAAAATATAATAGGCTCGAAGGGGCCACATGTTTCTGTCTCATCCTGCCATTTGCAAAGTTAAAAATAGAAATCAAATAGAATATATAATTGGAAGCAGGAGATGGAGAAGCTGGATATTGCTAATGACCGCACTGTTTCTCTAAGTCCTTTTCTCGTTGTTGGCTTACTTTGGGTTATCAGAGCTCAAAGCAACAGAGCACGGCAAGGCAAGGCAGAGGAGAGGACCCTGGGGATGAAATGCACATGAAATACACCTCTCGCCACACATCCTCTTACAGCTGGGCGAGTCAAAAAGAAAGAGGGTACTCTTCTAATAGCTTTACCTGTACTTGGATTATATTCCCATCAAGCTCAGTAGGTGCTTGAAGCTTCCATCTCTCCTTCTCTTCCAGTGACCATGTGCTTTGGCTAGAGATTGGAACTTTCCTCCACATAGCTATTTTCCCTTTGTCTGTGCCAGCTGATAGAAGACCTATAAAATGTGAAATGTGTCATATTCTTCAGATCAGGTCAGGACTATCACAATATACAGTATATTAATGATCATCATCATAGAACTGCAGAGCTAGGAGGGATCGGATGGATCATTGAGTCCAGCCCCTGTTAAGAGGCACAGTGGGGAATCGAACCTCCAACTTCTAGTTCTGCAGCCAGATGCCTAAACCATTGTGCTATCCAGCAGTACAGTAGGACCTCATTATTCGCAAAATCAGTATCCACTGATTCATTTATCCATGGTCTGAAAACATTAAAAGAAAAATCCTAGAAATGTATACTACCAGAAATCTGGTAGCATGATTTCTATTGGCCAGTTCTGATAACTTCATCTTTAGAAATATATAAGACGAAGTTACCAGAACTGGCCAATAGAAATCATGCTTCCGGATTTTTCCGTGTATATGACAATCCTTTTGACTAAAATCTTTAAATTAAAAATTAAGAGTCGTCTTATACACGGAGGTAACGAGGGGGAGGGATCAAAGCACTTTGATTCCTGCTTTCCTCCTCCACTTTTTGCGAAGAAGATGGTGGGGAAAAGCACTTTCCATGCAAGGAAGTGGTGGGGGAAAGCAGGAATCAAAGTACTTTGATCCCTGCCTTCCACTTCCACTTTCTTGCAAAGAAAGAAATGTTGGGTTAGAAAAGGGGGGGCATCTTATACATGGGGCAGTCTTATACATGGAAAATACTGTATGTATAGTATTCATTAGAACAGGGGTCTCCAAACTTTTCATTGTGAGGGCCACATCATGTATTTTAGACATTTTCAAGGGCCGAAGGAGGGAAGGGGGACCCAAGCGCCCCCCATCCCTGCAATCTTTGCAAAGACAGCGGGGGAGGGGGATCGCTTCTGTCAGACTTCGCTCCTCTTCATCATGTATTTTACACATTTTCAAGGGCCGACGGAGGGAAAGGGGACCCAAGCGCCCCCCACCCCTGCAACCTTTGCAAAGACAGCGGGGGAGGGGGATTGCTTCTGTCAGACTTCGCTCCTCTTCCTATCCCCGCCCGGGCATAGGAAGAGGAGGGAAGAGAGACCCAAGCAATCCCCCATATATATATATATGTATCTGCTTGTAAATCATTCCCTAAATGTATACATTTTTGTGATTAACTGCATCCCTCAAACAGATCCCCCCAAAAACTTGATTGAACTGCTGTCTAGTTCTAATTATCTGTTTAATGATTCAGACATACATGCATACACATAAATACATATACAACATTCCATCATACTACATACTTCCTAACGTGAACAACAGAAGGAACATATAATGAGTTTATGAAGAAGAACATGTTTCACATGAACATCTGAGAAGACTTCACTCCCACAAGTCATTCTTTATGCTATGCAAACAGAAGTGTAGCTATATCAGAACACAGAGATTAAAGTGTTGTGCCAAGTCCTCACAGAAAACCCACTAGTCAGTTAATTCCTCAGGAGACTGTTGGTTTGAAGTCAGTGATGAAGCTGATCAGCCTAAGGTTAAAGGTGGGAATGTATTGGGGGATGGTGACTGAGGACATGTAAGATTTGAATGTAATTACAGAAGGACATTGTGGCAATAAAAACACAGCAGGAACTCCACAATAAGGAGATCAGAAATAAAACAGCTTTGATAAAGGAAGAAAGACTTCTGTTTCAGGTGGTATAAAGGGGGTTCTGCCTAAAGTTAGAGTTCAAAAGATGAGGTTTGGGAGACACAAAGCAGCTGGATCAAAAGGATCATCAACAGCATAAACAATGAAATCATCAAGAAACGAAACACAAATTTTGACAGACAGGCATGACGGCCATCAAATCTGAAAGGAGGTTGCGGTTTGTCTTCTCTCAGACTGAAAACAGTGCTCAATGGGCACAAGCAGAATAAGGGCGACAAAGAGGGGCTACTGCATAAGATAGGTAAAGAGACAGAATGGGAACATCTGGCTATTTTAAATGAATTGACATTTTTGTGCCCAATTTGAACATTTTCACTTAGTGGTGTCCTCACTTTTGTTGCCAGCAGGTTAGACATTAATGGTTGTGTGTTGCATTATTTTGAGGGGACAGCACATTTACACTGTAATACAAGCTGTATACTCACTGCTTTACTTTGTAACCAAGTGTCATTTCTTCACTGAAAAGATATACTCAAACATTTATGAAATATGACGGGGTGTACTCACTTCTGTGATATAATGCATATGGAAAATTATTATGTGTACTCACTTCTGTGATATACTGCATATGGAAAATTATTATGCTAAAGATCAATGGCAACAAGATTTTCCTTACCTTTAGCACCACAATAAGATACACAATTGACACACTCGTCTATATCAAATCCAAGCTTCTCATCCAAAGATAGCCCATAATTCTCACCTCGTTCCAAATCCCAGAATCTACAGAGAAAGTAAAGAATCTATATGAAGTTCCATATGATACAGACTAAAGTGGGGAGAATAAAAATTAAGATAATGCTAAGATTAAGATATTGCCAAGATCGATCCTGCCTATATAATTTCATCTCCTCAATTTCCTTCGATATGATACAGACTAAAGTGGGAAGAATAAAAATTAAGATAATGCCAAGATTAAGATATTGCCAAGATCGATCCTGCCTATATAATTTCATCTCAATTTCCTTCATGGTGCAGCTTCTCCTCTCTTGTGGCAATCCCTAAAGTCAAAGAAATCTCACATCACTGAGCACTATCTTAACTAACAGCTCAACAGAAGAGCCATCCAGGAGCACCAAAGCTGGAATACCACACAGTACCCTGTCTTGGACTGACTGCTAAACTTCTATAGAGAGCTATGAGAAACTTGTTGTCTTCTATATGACACCAGACTGCTACTTTCACCACCACTCACTATTGGTTATGCCCCCTAAAGCCAGTGGGAGTTGTGAATGACAACATCCAAAGCAGCGATCCCCAACTTCTCTGATGCCAGGGGCTGGTTTAGTTGAAGACCATTCTCCCAAGGACTGGGGGCGGGTGTGTGTGTTCTTGCTATGCAGCAGGTTGTTGGAGGATAGCTTGGAATTGAGCTCATAAAGGAAATGGCAAGCAGGAGCAGGAGGTGAGCTGCAATTGGCGTTCCGCCTCCTGTTAGATCAGCAGCGGCTTAGAACATAATATGAGTGCAGGCTCCTATTAGATTCTAACGCCACAGGCACAGCTGATGTAGCAGCAGCAGGAGGGGAGTGGGAGAGAAGTTCCACCTCCTGTGTCCCGGTCCTTCCAAGGCCGCCCGGGGGTTGGGGAACCCCTGATCCAAAGGACCACATGTTCTGCACTCCTGGTAGAAGTCCTTTTCATAATAATGTAACATGAAATTTCCATTGTGAATTTCAAGTCTTCAGAGCCCATTCTCTCAAGTGTCATGCCATCACTAGATATATCATCCAATGAGGACACAACTCAGAGCTTCTTGAGTCCAACCTGGTGACTGACTGCTAAATCCAGTAGACCCTGGACCCTAGAAGATCAGGGAGGCCAAATCCACAGGGGATGGTGGACTCTGGGAGGTATGGGAACTTGAAATCCCTAGTGAAGGTGGCTCTGGGGCTGAGTCAAAGGAAGTTGGGCTCTTCCCAGACCATGAGTACAACAGGTTGAAGACACAAGCCTAGAAAGAGGCTACAAGAAGAAGTGCACAGGAGAAGGGATTCCTCAAGTCAAAGGAAGTTGGGCTCTTCCCAGACCACGAGTACAACAGGTTGAAGACACAACCCTAGAAAGAGGCTACAAGAAGTCCACAGGAGAAGGGATTCCTCATGAGTAGGGAATTCTTGAGGGAAAGGTCTTCCTCCTGGGAAGACCAGCAGGTCAAACCTTATAGCTGAGCTGGCCAAACAGCTGGAAAAAGAACGACAGCTGAACTTAAGATGGGGCTTCGTCAGCTCAACTATATGAACTTCAGCTTAGGACTCTGTCTATGTTGGAGGCAATGTTTTTGTTGGTTCTTAACCCAACTTGCCTTGTATCCTGGCCACACTGCTGACTCCTTGCCAGGTATGATGTTTGGAATCTCCCTGTTTGCTTTCTTAACTCTTGGACTGGTTTGACCTGGATGGTTTGGGACCTCCTGAGTCTGTTTTACCTCACCAGTTTGCCTGCCCTGGAACTAACAGCACTCTGGGAAGAGGGCACTGGAATCCTAACAAAATACCTGTGCAGTGGGTCAATATTTCTATTCCCATACCTGAGGATGGAGGTTGAAGTAAGAGAATTCTCAAGATCATCTAGGAAGTTTGTGAAAGAGGTAGGATTTGAACTGATAAATTCACATGTTACGCTGTCAGCCAATATCAGTTGTACATATCAGCCGTTAAAATTTGGTAAATAGTTTACAGATTGAGAACACCAAACAGATAGGAATTGATTATTTATGCCTTTTTGGTCCACAAATCCACAGTTTCCCATTATTAATGTTCTAATGAGATTTATCAGGGGGAATGAATCAACACAAACACTCACATACACTTTCTACTAAGTCAAAATTCTTACCTAAGAAATGGTTCACCTGTTGCAGTAATAAGCAGGCTGTGTTCAATCAAAATGATATCAGCAGGGTGACCAATCTTTCCACTCAGCTTCACCTGATGATAAAAGTTATCCCATGAGCAGTCATACTGAGAACAAGGCGTCATCTCTTCTGTATAGTTTGGATCCAATGGATTTGGGTTGGGGCAATAATATACAGTGAGACACACCTTAGTTACATCACGTTTGGATTACTGCAACACATTCTTCATGGGGATGCCTCTGAAAGCTGCTTGGAAACTTTCGTAGGTGCAAAATGCTGAAGCTAGATTGCTGACTTGAGTTGGTTACAAGGAGCACAGAACTTCCCTGTTACAGCAGCTTCACTGGCTACTGGTTTGTTTCTGAACCCAGTTCAAAGTACTGGTTGTGACCTATAAAGCCCCATTATGGCTTGGGTCTAGATTATCTAACAGACCCTATCTTCCCATGCAACCTTCCTTAGATTTTAAGATTTGGTGAGGCCTTCCTCTAAATCCCATCACCCTGATAAGGGACACCTAACGAGGTGTTCATCATACAAATGACTGTTCCTTCCCCTGATTTTGGTAGACAAGCTTCTGAGACCAGGGCATTTGAAACATATTTCTCCGCCCACTTCCCTATGTTAAATGGGCAGGGAGGCAGGGGAGAACAATCACCACCATCACCCTACTCCAGGAAGGAGAAACTGTTGTGTGCTTTAGTGGCACAAAGGTTTTCCTCTAACTAGGTTGGCATATGATCATCTTTATAAGACAAGTTTCTCCTAGAAAGCAGGTTTGTAAATGCGGGATGCTTTATGTAGTTTCTTTCCTTCTTCATGGCATCCACTACTGTAGAAAGCCTTAGTAAAATAACTAATCCTGGCAGATGGTTCAACAAGCAAATAATAAAAGTCATTGTGAGATATTTGCTAATTCATGATGTGGAACTTTCAGTTTTAGTTTTGTGAAGCAACAATAGCAACAGTCCTCAGGACTCCTTCTCTGCAGGGTACAGACTTGGTAGAATCAAATGTTCTCTTCAGTAAGGTATTACACGGTCCATATTACTCACCTTCAAGATTTCTTCTGCTTCTCCTTCAAGAGAAATCTTGTGAAGAGATAACAGCAGAGTCTCTGTTATTACTACCAAGACATCCTTTTCCATGAATAGCAGTTTTTGGACTGAGCTCTCTGTGGTCAACGTCTGGCTTGTTTTCCCTCTCTCATTCACATAAAATATAGTTCCTGTAAAGAAACCAAGTCTTGGTGCATATTGATGGCTTATATATTATTCGAGGCTGAAACAAGACCCACGCCACCCCCACCTCAAAATAAACCCATCTTAGTAGCAATCCTGTAAAGTTTTTTTTTAAAGAAGTATTTATGGTTTACCACTAGGTGGAGCGATATACCTCCAAATCAGTCTCTGTGTAAGAGACACTTATTGCGGCACATGATTCATTTTGTTCAAACCTATCCTCAGGAGTCAGTGTATTGGGGTACCTACCTGCAAGTGTGCCAGATTCTAAGAAAAAGACACTTCCATTACAGCTACCTTTCCTCTTCAGGAACAAAATACCAAATAAAGTAAAAGAAGTCTGATTATAGCATGTTCTTGGGAAGAACGCTACATTTCCATCCTAATAATATTCTCCCAGAAATATTATTTCCATGTTTAATTCTAGCTTTACCACTGCCTTTTATATTTTTACACTGTTATCTCAACACCATTTTGAAATATAGAAAGAAACATGACTTCTACTTTGTACAGATACCATGCCCAAAAGTTGTCGCTCAACACAGGAAAGTTGCAGTTAGAGCAGGCTGATTTGAATCAATGAAAACTATGGAGGAATTGACTCACTAAATCTCCATTGATTCACTGGGACTCCTCTAGCGCAATTTGCTATGCTAAGCAACAAGATTTGGCCCATAGGTCTAAACAAAAGAAGACCAGGGCAGATTTACTGATGAACAGTATTTAAGTACAGTGGTGCCTTGCAAGACAAATGCCTCGCAGGACAAAAAACTTGCAAGGCTTTGGCAATGGGGTTGATGACTTGCAGGACAAGTGTTTTCCATTTTTTGTTCCTGCCTCATGTTTGCTGATTTTTAAATGTTTTTCTATGCTGTTTAAAAAGTTAAAGTTTTTTGATTGAAATTTTTAAAATCATCTGCACAATATGTATGGCTTTAAAGAGCACTTAATAAACCCTTTGGAAACCAAATCTGACTTTGTTCTGACTTTTTTTGCCCATAGGAACACATTAATTAGATTTCAATGCATTCCTATGGGAAAACGTAGTTCGCAAGACGAATTTTTCACAAGACAACATTAACTGCGGAACAAATTAAATTCCTTTTGCAAGGCACCGCTGTATTTCAGCTGCAAAGAGGGAGAAGAGGTATTTTGACATCAGGAACAGTTGATATGAACTGGGCTAGAAAAACAGCGTATGCAACCTACAACTTCCCCGTGTTGATCTCTTCCCTGTATCCAGACTGAAGCGATATGAACAGGTATAGGGACCAGAAAATTTTAGCAGTTTGGTCCTTACCATCCGTCATGCTGATAAAAAAGGACAGCCCCTCCTGCGGTCCCATTTTGAGAGGCATTCCCATCCCGCCTTTCCTCCAGTTAAACATGTCCAAGGCCTTCTCGTCACCGCTCACCGCAGCTTTTGCTAGTTGCACTAAGTCCCTGCAGGCAACAAAGGATACATACATTATTTTTGGGGGGCCCTCCTTAGTATAACTTTTTCTCTGGAAGACAATTGATGGAGTCCTTCTACCAGCAAAAATAGAAATAATGAAAAAGTCTGACTCCAGGCGTGGAACAGAAACCCTAATATTATCGCAAACAGAATTAAGAGAACAGCAGCAGTTAAGGGAAGAACTGAATGTGAGATGTGGCAAAGATGAACAATACACACTCATTTAGACAGCAAATTAGGGTTGTGCTGAACCTTCTGCCCATGGGAGGGCATTCATAGTGGGGGTGTATGGCAGCAGTACCTTACCCACTCTGTTTCTTTTTAATATATACGTATCTTCTAAATCCTCACTGCCATTGCAGCAAGTAAACATAGTTCTCCAGCATTATCCCCTCATCTCCACCCCCCTAATGCTCCTGTGAATGACAATGTATCAGGACAATGTCCTTGCAAAAACATTATTGTGGTAGGCAAACTGGTTGCAGGGTTAGATTACTGAGATGTATTGTACACGGCCTGTCTGTGAAGAACACTGCATTTCAACCCATTCTCAATCTCACATCGTTGTTGTTGTTTTGACTTGTCCCACCATACCAGAGAACTCTCTGAGCAGTTTACAGCATAATTAATCAAAGAATGCTTTGCTCCCTACAGCAAACTGAGTACTCATTTTACTGACTTCAGAAGGATGAGTCAACTTTGAACCAGTTAGCTGAACCCATCAGGATCAAACTCAGGCCATGAGCAGAGACTTGCCTGCAGTACTGCAGTTTAACTACTGTGCCACAGAGCTCATAACCTGTTGTTAACTTGTTATTTACTGTTTCCTGATGTATTGTAGTTCCATTGTTTTTAAATATTAGAAGCAGCTTTGAGCATTGTAAACAGGAAAGGAGAACAGCATTTTAAGGTAGTTCAAAGCAATATAAGTGATGAGTCAAAAACCACCAATATAAGGTAGGACATAATAAGTAAATCCATTACAGATTATCTATAACTGAGCAGAGGTCAGCAATGGAGTCTTTGAAGGCCAGAAGGCAAGATTGTACAAAAATACATTGCAATCAAATGAGAAAAGCTTAGCCAGTTCTCAGTACAGAATAAGGGCGATATGACTCTCCAGATATTTGTTGGACTCCAGTTCCCATCAGTCCTTGCCAGCACAACAAAGGGTGAGGAATGCTGGGTGTTGCAGTCCAGCATCCAACACCCAGAGCCCTGCCCACACCTAGTAAAAAAGGTAGACAACAGCAAGAAGAAAGTATTGTAGGAAGATGCAAGAGATGAAACCAATGCAAATTGTTAAAGTACACTAAGGAAGAGACTATCAAATATTTCAAAAACACTCAAAGTGGGATATTTGACCTAACACAGACATCAGTGACTGATGCTAAGGAGGTGAGAACCATGATTCTCATAGGAGCTATAGGAGAACCATGATTCTCAAAGAATATACAGTATAAGTTCTTCAGAGTACCAAAATTCTGCCTATCGGAAACATGGTCTCTACTTACTCTCCAGGAGGAGGTGGCCGGAAGATGCAGTAACTGAGAGGCTTTCCATATTCATGTTTAAGTAGAGGCGGGCCTTGGACTCTACCTCGCTGATCCATCCTCCATAACACAAGGACACCAAGCTAAAGGTTATAAAACAGATTAGTGCACTTAGTTTTATCCTTGGTAGTTTATACTGCAATTTGTAATGTTATTTTAGGGTTGTCGGAAATGTCTGTTACTGTACATTCTTATTTATTGTTATGTTTTCAAAGAAACATAGGTTATTAATTTTTAGAAACAAATAAGCATATCTATGAACAAAATATATTAAGGATCAATTTGCAGGGGTCCCTCAGACCACAAGAGCCTCGTTTCCATTCACTGTATATAATCTTCCAACCAGTAAATCCATTACAGATTATCTATAACTGAGCAGAGGTCAGCAATGGAGTCTTTGAAGGCCAGAAGGCAAGATTGTACAAAAATACATTGCAATCAAATGAGAAAAGCTTAGCCAGTTCTCAGTACAGAATAAGGGCGATATGACTCTCCAGATATTTGTTGGACTCCAGTTCCCATCAGTCCTTGCCAGCACAACAAAGGGTGAGGAATGCTGGGTGTTGCAGTCCAGCATCCAACACCCAGAGCCCTGCCCACACCTAGTAAAAAAGGTAGACAACAGCAAGAAGAAAGTATTGTAGGAAGATGCAAGAGATGAAACCAATGCAAATTGTTAAAGTACACTAAGGAAGAGACTATCAAATATTTCAAAAACACTCAAAGTGGGATATTTGACCTAACACAGACATCAGTGACTGATGCTAAGGAGGTGAGAACCATGATTCTCATAGGAGCTACTAGAGAACCATGATTCTCAAAGAATATACAGTATAAGTTCTTCAGAGTACCAAAATTCTGCCTATCGGAAACATGGTCTCTACTTACTCTCCAGGAGGAGGTGGCCGGAAGATGCAGTAACTGAGAGGCTTTCCATATTCATGTTTAAGTAGAGGCGGGCCTTGGACTCTACCTCGCTGATCCATCCTCCATAACACAAGGACACCAAGCTAAAGGTTATAAAACAGATTAGTGCACTTAGTTTTATCCTTGGTAGTTTATACTGCAATTTGTAATGTTATTTTAGGGTTGTCGGAAATGTCTGTTACTGTACATTCTTATTTATTGTTATGTTTTCAAAGAAACATAGGTTATTAATTTTTAGAAACAAATAAGCATATCTATGAACAAAATATATTAAGGATCAATTTGCAGGGGTCCCTCAGACCACAAGAGCCTCGTTTCCATTCACTGTATATAATCTTCCAACCTTGCTCCCACATGCTAAGACAGCTGCCTTCACATCAAAAGGATATGTCAAATCCAATGTGGATGATTACCTTACAGTATTCTACAACACAGCACTTCAAAACTAGCATGCCCACGACAATCTCTTTGTCTCATAGCCACAACTTAAGACGATAGCATGGGCTGACTGAAATGGCAGCTGCCGTGCTATAGTAGAACCATGAACAGGCCCTAAAGGAGGAGCAGGCAAAGGGCAGCCCTCTAGAATAGACAGTGCTGGACTGCAACTCCTATCAGTCTCAGCCTGTATAACAAATGATGAAATATACTGGGAATTGCAATTTAGCAAACATTGGAGAGCTGCATTTTGCACATGGTCCGTGGCTTCTTTAAAAAAATAACCTTTTCAGAGGGACAGAGCATGAGGCATCATGTGCTGTCACTTCCATTGGCCAGAAGGTGTGGCGTATGGGCACCCAGACAGCAGGAAGGAACAGCCCACATTAGGAATAAGGCCTCTTGAAGACTGCACAGATCGGAGGTGCTGAAGGAGGTACAGTATACTCAACACCTAAAAACTGGGAGGTGGGAGTGTACCATAATGAACTCTTGGGACTGTTCAGAGTGTTTCTATTCATATAAGTCTGAGAGTTAACTCCTAGATTCCTACAGCACCCTGAAAAGTTATATTTTAGAAGGAAACAACGGTCCGTATGCAGCACCTCAGAAGTCAATATGGTAAGTTAGAAGCCAAAGATGATAGTAACCCTTGCAGAACGCTACACTCTGTTTCCAAAGGTATTACAACATTTCCCAACTTCTGTTCCAGTCTTTAGGATAGGACTTCACCTCTTCATGCAAAATCATATTCGCAGTAAACTCCTTTGCATTTGTATGTTTCAAAGTGAGATGTTTCCAATAACCATTAAAGTTATGTCCCACAGAGAACCAACTGGGATGTTTCTACTTACTTTGTCACCAGAAACCAGTCGGCTGCCATTCGTACTCCAATTCAGGACTGTAATATCAGCATTATGGTTGGAGGGCACGGCATGGTGCTCTTTGTCTTGCTTGTTCACTACCACCACGTCCCCCATCTCACAGCCCACGGCCAGTATCAGTTTCGATGGGTGCCAACTGAGGCAAGTGGCCCTGAAATTTCTTTCCAGGTGTGAATCACACACATATTCCCCCTGCAAATAATGCAAAACACACTTTCTGACGTTATAAATACACACACAGCCTTTCTACCAAGTGTCCCTTCTCCCTAGATAAAAATGTGTTTCACTTTCATAGAGTATTCTAGATCTGATCATGTGAGTCCAGCTCTGCAGTTCTAAGATGTTGCTGATGATGGAAAAGGTAACTTTCCCTATGTCTTCCTTACACACAGTCTTTAAAATGCTGTGCCTCTCCCTTCTCCTTTAGCAATGTAAGATATGTGGAATATTTTGTTCACTCAAGTATCTAAACAGCCTTGCCCGGCTTCCATGCCTTATTGCAAAAGGAAAAAGTCCAGAGGAAGTTCCTATGGGCAAAAAAAGTCAGAACAAAGCCAAATTTGGTTTACAGTTTATTAAGTGCTCTTTAAAGCTATACATATTGTGCAGATGATTTTTAAAAATTCAATCAAAAAACTTTAACTTGTTAAACATCATAGAAAAACATTTTAAAATTAGCAAACATGAGACAGGAACAAAAAATGGAAAACATTCGTCTTGTGAAGCATGGCCATAGGAACATTCATCTTGTGAGTCATCAACCCCATCACCATAACCATTCGTCTTGCAAGTTTTTCATCCCGCGAGGCATTCATCTTGCAAGGCACCACTGTGTAACAGATACAGTATTTCCTTCATGCTATTACTTTTTTACTTTTTAAAAGTTGATTTATACATTAATATTTAATGTGTAAAAATGTTTTTAAAAAGCAATTGCTTTTCACTTCTAAGCTATTCTTCTCACATACAAAGAAAAGGTTCATTATCATGTAGTAATCCGAAATTACTTAAAGTAGATCAGATATGTACACAGATATGCTCATAATCCCTTTTTAAAGGCACCGTATCAGGAATGAGAAAAATTACTATTGGGACCACAACTTCCAGATTCCCACAGCCAGCATGGCCCTTATAATTCTCATCTTCTGTAGTCCAAAAAGAACTGGTGGATAGCTCAGTGGCTTAGGTCTCCAGCTGCAGAGCCATAGTTTGGGAGTTCGATTCCCCACTGTGCCTCCTTGAAAGGGGCTGGGCTTGATGAGCCACAGAGTCCCTTCCAGCTCTGCAGTTCTAAGATGTTGCTGATGATGGAAAAGGTAACTTTCCCTATGTCTTCCTTACACACAGTCTTATTCGTTCCGCGGTTAATGTCGTCTTGCAAAAAATTTGTCTTGCGAAACGCGTTTTCCCATAGGAATGCTATGCTTGCCCGGCTTCCATGCCTTATTGCAAAAGGAAAAAGTCCACAGGAAAAGTCTTTATGTCTGAAGAGAGCTTATCTTTGTGTGACCTATTGCTTTCCTAGCACCTTTGTCTTTCCACTGCACTACACACCTGCTGAAGTCACCTTCCTCCTACAAGTCTGTAATAATGCTACAAAGCTTTTCTTCCAGGTTGACTGGAGCTATAAACAAGAGCACTGCCGTTAGGGAATGGGAATACATAACAAACTGTAATAGAACATTCCAAATTATTACAGAAATAGCAATCCAAATAAGCTGTGAGTCCTCCAAGTAAACATCTGCTTTAACCTGCAGTCAACAGCCATGTAGTACAACATGGTACATGCTCACTCAGCAGCAAGCATCACTGAATACAGCTGAATTATGCAGGGAATCATACACTGGGTTGCAGCCGAAGACGTGCATTAGTCTAAAATAGAACATTCTGCTCCACTGGCTTGGCTATCACCCGGATGCAGAGAATCAACTGAGTACCAGGTGAGCACCTGTACTTTGACCAAGGCCCTTGAAATTAGGACGTTTATTGCATTCTTGAAAGCTTACCTTTATCTAAATAAAAGGGGGTAGGGCAAACAGCAACAATAATACTTTACTCTTTTCAGTAAAAATTTTAAGGGAAATGAGAGGAACTACAACCACTTTCTTCTTCATTGAGGAAAGAAGGAGATGTGTTGTTACTTTCTTTTTTCAATATTCCCAGAAGGCAGTAGGGAGAGGCTATTACTGGCACTTGCTCAAGAGGCCCAATTTATAGGTGGGGAAGTAAGAGGATCGTGAGAAAGACATCCTCGTCCCTGCTTGTAGGCTGTGGGACCTTTTGAAATCTGGAAAAGATGTCCACTGCCAGTTCTCCTATAGATTTAGGAGGGGACAACCCCGGAGCCAGCAGAGGGAGGAGAGGCAAGAAAGGCAGGGAAGGATCCAGAAAAGGAGGAGAGACTCTTAGGGAAGGAGGGAGGGAAGGATAAAAGTGGGAAGGAACAAAACTTGGGGCAGAGGAGGAGACTTGGAAGGACACTAAGGAAGAGCCAGAATGGGAGGCTCATCAGCAGAGGATGGAGAAGAGATACTGGTAACCCCAAGAGAGGAGTGGGGAGTTGTCGAGAGGGAGGACTCCTGCACAAGGGAATGTGGATGGCGATGGGTGCCGTGTGCAGAAGTGGAAAGAATACGCAGTGCCAACCTGCCTTGGAAGCCCACCTTCTGGGAAGAGAGAGAGAGAGGAGAGAAAAGAGGTGGAAGGTCCTAGAGTGAGGGGACAAAAAGACTGATCTTTCTCTCACCACCTCAAGATCTGAGATCCATGAGAGAGCAGCCTATACCCTCCATCTGGGAGAGAAGAAAGTGGAGGATGAAGCGACTACCATCAATAGACCTTGGCAAGCAGCCAACCTTGCTGTGGGACTTCCCATCTGCGCCTTACCTCCAGGGTGTCTTTCAAGTTCTGGAGGAGCAAGGGGTGACTCGGTGCAAAGGAGCTCACAGAACTGAGCATTCCAGCAGACAGAGACTGTTCAACATTTTACCAGTTCTTAATGTTGTTTTACCCTGTCCCAAGTGAATACATCCCATTGTTACACAGCATTTCACATCTCCAAATATGGAACACATAAGAGAAGAGGGAACAGTGAGACACCTGGGAGCATCCGGGGCAATGGCGGGAGAAAAACCACTTTTTCCCCCTCTCCCAAGAACAGCAAATACAAGGAAGATAATTTTGCTCCGAGCTGGGACTTTTGCGAGGCCTGCCGAATGAAGCTACCTCCTATATTCCCCATCCTCTCGTTTCTTTCTCTTTTCAATATCTGTTTGCAAGAAAGGAGACACATCCAGCACTTTTTGCAATAATGTTTTAGAAGCCAGCCCTCCATCCACTTCTATATGCTGCCTGTGGGAAAAGATGTATCCACTATCTAAAAAGCAGCAAAATTTGCTTTGGAAGCAAAGAAGACAACTGCCAAGTGTTGAAAGACATAGGGAAGAAGGTCATGCAGCTTTATGCAAATAACTATGTTGTGGTCACTGACATGTTGTAATTATCTACGGTTTTAAGTAATAAAGCTTTGCTTGTTTGTTTGTTCACAATAGCTAAATTTCTAAGATGAAAAATTAACCCCTTGCTTCCTGGAGAAGAAAGGAGAGCAGGTTTCCAAGCTGTGATCAGGAAAAAAATTATATTATATTATATAGAATAGAACAGAACAGAACAGAATATATAAATATTATAATTTATCTGCAGATCACCAGAGGTGGGGAGTTGGAAAGAAACTAGTTGCTATTCATTCCCAAACTGCACTTTTTGGAATCAATTTACTTTTGGAACACTCACCTGTTCTAGAAAAATATCCACACTGCCACCAGAGTTTGCATTAATGGACGCAACTGCCAAATATGGCTGAAGAGGGTGCCAAGCTATGTGGGAATGGGGTCCACGGGACTCAAGAGCTTCTATTCGATGATCAATGTACACAGCCATGGCGAGCAGTCAAATATCTGTAATATTAATATGGATTTATCAAGCAAACAGGCACGGCTTTATTTAAAATAGAAATAAAAGCCATGTTCAGTTGCATCCTTAATCCCTTGGACTAAGGAAAAAATATTAAACACATACTGTAACACAAAGAATCAAAAAGAAAATCTGCTAGCCATTACTGTATTTATCAGCTATTGATAATATTAAAGTAAAATGAGGAAACTATCTTAAAGATACTACCCTCTGTCAATAATTAGATTCCGATGAGATGTATTTTCTCTAAGATTTTATTTTCTTATTATTGTTCCTTTGTTTTACTTTAACTTCTCCTCCATTGGATAGTAGGAAGAGGGTAAACCCTGTAAGCATTCATAGCCCAGTTTGTATGAAGCAGTATGACACAGTGGTTAGTGTTGGCTTGTGATTTAGGAAAGAATGTCAGATTAGTTATTATGTGAAACGACATACTGTAAAGTTCACTTCAAAAGGGGGAACTGATGGAAATCTTGTAGTAGTCTTTATAATGAAAACAGGATGAGATATTTAGATATTAGATCATCAATGTGGATGATCCCTGAGGATAGCAAACTTTGCAAATAATCCATAATTACTTCTTAATTCCATTGCTTTTAATAGGCCTTTCTCCCAGATAAACAAGGATGGGACTGCAGCCCTAGAGGGCTTACTAAAATATTGAAATTGACCATTGCTTTAATTAAAGGTCACCTATACAAGATTTTGTATATATTTGTTGAATCATCACTCCAAACAGAGACTGCAGCCAAGAAATCAGAAGACTGATACTTGGAAGTGTAGCAATGAATGAATTAGAACAGGTCATTAAGTGTACGGACGTTTCACCAGAGACCAAGACCGGTCACACTCTGGTATGGATCAGGGAGCCATGTACGTGTGAGAAGCTAGACAGTGGAAAAACCTGAGAAGAAAAAAATATGGCAGTGGAGGAGACAAAGCAAGTGGGTCCTAGATCGAATAAAGTCTGGAAGCAAAAATGTTGGAAGCTGAGACTGTCCACCTTTGGGCACATCATGAGAAGGCAGGATTCTCTGGGAAAGACGATCGTGCTGGGAAACTCCGGAGGTGGCAGGAGAAGAGGAAGACGAAACATGAGGTGCACTGACTCCCTAAAGCATGGGTTCCCAAACGTGGGTCCCCAGATGTTCTCGGACAGCACCACCCGGAAACCCTGGTCAGTACAGCCAGTGGCTTCCAGGAATTTCAGTCCAAGAACGTCTCTGGGGACCCAGAGTCGAGAACCCCTTGCCCTAAAGCATTGGTCCAGAACCTTGGGCCTCCAGATGTTCTTGGACTACAACTCCCAGAAGCCTTCACCACCACCACCTCTGCTGGTCAAGATTTCTGGGAGCTGAAGTCCAAGAACATCTGGAGGCCCAAGGTTGGGGACCACTGCCCTAAAGGAAGCCACAGGCTTGAGTCTGCAGGGCGGTTGAGGACGGGACGTTTCAGAGACCCTTCAGTTCAGAGGCTCGCCCTGAGTCCCAGGCGACCCGACCGGACATGACCACAGATGGGCAGCCTTGTTTAGTCTGCTGCCCCTCCAGCTCCCGGGGTCCCTGGTTTGATGACTCCACAGAGACTTCAAGAAAGTGAAGCTCATCAATAGTTTACCTCAGTTTTATAATCCTGAGTGAAGGCGTTCACCGTCCCAGACCTTTAAAAATTGTACTGTACTTTAATGGCATATCTGTGGAGGGTATGGCATTTATTGTGGTACACGGCCCGCAGGAGCCAGGAGGTCAGATGGGCCGTCTAGAAATCAAATACCTGTACCTACCTACCTACCTACCTTGAAAAGCCTCACCGGGACCAGGGCTCAGCCCGGTCCACGGCGCCTCCCAAACCAAACCGCGACCCGGGACGCGAACCTCCTTCCACCGCCCTCCGGCCCTCAGTCGAAAGGGTCGTTCCCTTCGCCGCCCAACGTGCCCACCCACCCCGCGACCAAACCGGCACCGATTCCGCCGCCTCCTCTCCCCGCCAGCCGCCTTCCCCGGCTCCGAATCCAGACTTTGGCCCCCTCACCGGTTCAGAGCGCCGCCTCCGCCCCGAGAGAAGCGGCCGAAAGGCCTCAAGGGCCTGGAGACGCCACCGGGAGGAGATGCTGGCTTAGCGTTACCACGGGCAACGGTCCGGAAAGAGCCGAAGTGGAGGGGGGGAGGTCGAAGAAACACGACCTTTCCCGAATGGGAGGGGAAGCTGTACGGAAATTGCCGAGCGTCTCACGAAGGGCTGTGGAGAATTGGCGCGCTCTCTCTCTCTCTGTGTGAAATTCACTGCCTTTCCTAGTTGTCGTTCTAGCTGAGGTAGCGGGGCTAGTCTGCCCAAGCATATCAGGCAAAATCCAATACTAAGGAGTGCTTCTCTTGTGCCCATTCTTGACCTAAATCCAAACTGTGTATTGTTTATTATTTATAATTGATTCATAATTTAATTGTTCATATTTAATTTATGCACTACCCTCACAAAAATCCTTCTGATGGAGCTTATTCCCTAGCAATGAAAATTCAAAGCTCAACCTACCACAACAATTAGGAAAACAGGAATGACAACAAAAATACTGTGGCAGCTTGGAAACCAACAATTTTATTTTAGCATGAGCCTTTGTGGATTACAATACACTTCATCAGATGCGTGTTTTTGTTGTTGCTGAAACAAACAATGCTTCCTTTGAAAACTCTTTGGAGAGTAAGCATTGGGAATACATTACCTTTGCTTACACCACTAAAACCTCAGAGAGTCACGTTCAAATCTTCATCAGGCTGAACATTGCAGGGGTGGGGGGAAGACAGTAAAATCCAAATGTTATCCAAAACAGAGGTTAATGCTTCAGGGTCTTGTACTCTACTTTTAAGTCTCAAAATGTACGTTAACGGAAAAAGAGAGGCTGCAGACATCTTGAAGTATCACATATTCCTTCAGGGGAGGTAGAAGCAATTATCTTTACCTATTGACTCTGCACCCCCATGGGGAAATCTGATGCCCCAAGGAAGTTCTATAAATCTGCAACCACTCTTTTACTTTAAATTGCAACACCCTGAACACTTAATATCTGGATCTGCATTTCTGGAGCCCTCCATTCCTCCCCACCTCACAGCTCTGTAATGCCATCCTGATGAAGAGTCTTGCAGAAATCGAAGCTCAGCTTCTTTTGAGATTTTAGTCATCTTATATAACGTATTTTTAGCTAGTGTGGTGCGGTGTCATAGATGAGCAACAGTCTCCTGCATCAAAATCCCTGACTAGCCATGGAAACTCAATAGGGGCATGCAACTGGTAAAACCACTCCTTAAGTACAGTATCACACTTATCTTGGAAGCCCTATTAGAGTCGCTATAAATCATTTCCAACTTGATGGCACATAGCAAAAATAAATGTATTGCTCAGAGTTGCTTTCATAGTATTTTGTTCAAGGACCAAATTTCTCCCCTTAGGATAACTGCATGCATCGAATGAAGAGTTGCCAGTACCAAACTTTATGAAACCATGATAAGCTGTCTCTAGCGCAATTCCATACATCCTTATTTGAGATAAATCACCACCTAGTTTCTTAGCAGAGAAAGTATTACTGTTGTTAGTAATCAATACATATTTTTGTATATATTTTGCATCAATCTTTATATATATATATATTTAATTGCATTTTAATTGTTGTGAATTTTTATTGTATTTTAAATGTTGTAAGCCGCCCAGAGACCTTTGGGTAGTGTGGGCGGCATATAAATAAAATAAAATAAATAAATAAATATTTGCTCTTGATCTCGAGTCATGCCGATCTTCCCAGGGTGTTCTGTGCCCGAAGTATTCAGAAGGGTTTTCCTCACTCCCTCCTTCTCCCTCCTTCTCATCCCCAAGGCGATCGAGCTGGAAGAGCACATCCTGTTGAACCAGCCGATGCTCCAGGAGGGGCGCACACCTACTCTGCTCTATCGCCATCTGTCAATCGGAGAGCAAAACAGCCAATGGGAATATCGGAAGACGCCACGGGCTCCTCCCCTCCCTCGTCCACTCGGAGAGCAATCTTCGCCCCGCCTCTCCAGCCGGTGAAGATCCAGTCCCAGCATTTACGCGCCTCCTTCACCCTCTTGCTCCTTTGCGGAGCCCGCCCCCTCGCCCCACCGCCATTGGTCCAGAGCCGTCCCCCGCGCGCGGCGCTCGGATTGGCCTGCAAAGGTGTTAGCGGCCTCACATAGGACGGCTCCACCTCTCCTCGCGCTTCCCCTGGCCAATGAAGCCGTTTGTTTGGGGTCCGGGGAGGCGTGGCTTTCCGGTGTGCTCCATTCGCCCTGCTGGGTGTTGTCCAGACCTCTTCCTTCCCGCCCCCTTCGCTGAAGACAGAGAGGCAACTAGGAAGCGGAAGCAGCCGTTATCCGTCTGTCGTGTGCAAGGGGGGGGGGTCCCAATCCCGGGGGGCTGGCAAGCCCTTATTTTTTTTGGAATTGTGGGTCGAGGGGCTGCAAACATTGGAGCGAACCTGCAGGAATTTGGTCCCGGCGCTGCGAAGGTGCCTCCATGCATCAGGTAGGAGGACGTGGGCCCAAAGGGTATGTATGTGCCTGTCCAGGTTGTCCAGGTTCCTGCACTGCGCAGCGCTGGAGGACAGTCCATAATATGCGTAGGACAGAGTGAACTTAATAGTGGACAGGACTGGGAGCCCAAGCGCCGGAAGAGGAATCAGGCGTAAAAAGGAGAAAGGAGGACGTTGGTGATTTGCCCCTAACCCGAAAGGGAGTGGAGAAAGAGAGTCCAGGACTCGGGATGAAGAAGAGATCATGGCTCTGGAGCTTTGGGAAGCTGTAGGGCTCGGGAGAGGGACGGAATCAGTACCATAAGTAGTGTAGCTCTGCTAATGCCCGTCAAATTGTCAAGTTTATAAATGTGGCTGTTTCGCTAGATTTTGTTTTTCCAAACTGGAGTAAAATCAGCAAGTCTTTGAAGAGGAGGGAGGGGTATCTTCTGCTGTTCTTATTAGGCAAATTCAATAGATTCCGTCTTTTCTTAGTTACTTCTCTGTGCCGCGTTTTGGATCTTTAACTTTAAACCTCCAGCCGAAGTGAATCCAAACAATCGTTTGATATTTTGGAAACTGAGCACCACAGAATAAGAGAGGGGATGTTAAAACCCTGGAATGTCAGGAGGGACAGATTATCTAGCTATGTGCTCTGTCTATAAAACTGGCAATTTGTTGTATGAATGGGTGTTTATTCTACCCCATTGTGTTTCACTTGCTTCGATTTTTTTTAAAGCCCTTCACATGCTGTCACAACATAATGTTGCCCCAAACAATTGAACAACTGTGTCGAGTGTACCAACTTGAAAGCTGCTGTTCCTTCTGATGCTTTCTGGTACATAAATGCTACTGAACTAATGGTGTTTATTTCCATGTAATTTGAGTAAAGTAGAGAGGAGTGATTTCTACTCAGATTGTTTTATTTAATGAAAGTGATAGGAATGGAAATGCTTATCTATCCACCTGTTTCCTAAAGTGATGTTCATATTGATGTGTGTTGAGCATTTAGCAAGACACTTGGGGTTGGTTTTTACTGGTTGTTTATCTTTTTGTTGGTGGCAGATGAATTTTAGTTTCTGTTATGAAAAGGTAATTTCTTAGTATGTAGAATCTTGCAGTGTATGTTTACTCATCCATAAATCCCACTGAGTTCAGGGGAGGCAATTTCCAAGTAAGTGTGTGCAGGATTACAGCATTGATCTGGTACCAAAGGGCAATTTTCTTATAAAGTGTTTGTCCCAAATAGTTTATCTTATATAAAGAACAACAAACTTCTAATAGTCATTAATCCATTACTAGATTGCATGCAATGCTGCATTATTTGAAATTTATGGAAAACAGTTTAGGGGTACAGAGTGGAAAGTGTGCAGAACTTGGTAAGAGCGTTGTAATAAGCACCATAATACCATCTGAACGTAACAAAAGGGTTCATTAAACCCGAATCCAAAACCTTGAGAGAGATGATATGTGATGGTAGGGGGCTGCTTTGAATTTGTGCTTTCATTATTCAGGATGCCAAAATTGGGGGTTCTACAGAGCTCCATAGAAACAAACAAGGAAGCCCAAAATCTTGCGTTTAAAAAACAACAACAGAAACGCACCAACAGCTCTTCCATAGAAACAAACAAGGAAGCCCAAAATCCCCCTCTCTTGCGTTTAAAAACACACACACACACAAACGCACCGACAACTCTTTGATTTTTCAAATGTTAAAAAAAAATACATGTTGGGATCCAGAGGTGTGTATGGTGTGTTTTGTGGGGGCGGAAAGGTTGGTGATGGGTGACAAAAGAGCAAAAAAAAGGTGTGTTTTTTTTTGTCCTGTCTTTCTCTTATCGTGGCGCTGGAAAAGCTCCGCTCCTTTTCTGGCGGAGAGAAAGAAAGACGCGGTTTTCGGGTGGATCGGAAAGGTGCTTCGTAATTTGGGAGTGGGTGTGTGTGTGAAGGGGGGGGGAGACTTCGGCATCTTTGTGGCCTTGGCCAGCCCCAGTCTTTGAGAGAAACACACACACACACACACACACACACTCTCGCACGGAGAGCGAGGAGGAGCAGGAGAAGCCTCTCGCTCGCCTGCCTGCTTGCCTGCCTGCTTGCCTGCCTGCATCTAGGGCGATGAATCCCCCCCCTCCCGTAGGTCGGACCGCCTCGGCTCCATGGTGAGGAGAAAGAAGCGCCCCCCTGGCCCCGGAGACCCACGCCATGGGTAGGAAGGGAAGGGGGAGCGTCACTTTTCGGGGGGGGGCTCTCCCCTCCTCGGGCGCCGCCTGGCTTTATTTTTTCCTTTCCCCCCCCCTCCGCGCCTCGCGAGCGCTTCCCCGGCGCGCCCGACTTTTGCCTGGGCCGCTTTCCTCGCCCGTAGGCGCCCTCAACCGCTCCCGTGAGGGGGGGACGACGGCCCGGAAAGAGAGAGGAGAGGGGGGGGGCTTCTGGGCCTCTTTCCCCCCCCTCGCCCCTCACTTCGGCACAGGTTGTTGGGTCGGGACCAGCCCGACGAGAAGGGGGGATTTAGTCACAAACAACGGCGGCCATGTTGAGAGGAATTTCAGGCAGCGAAAGTTCTCCCCTTCGGAAGGAAGGAGAGGGGGGGGAGGCTCTGCTTTCTGGGTGCCTCTTTTTGGGGAGGGGGGGTCGCCTGAGGGGGGGGACTTTGGGGGGACTTTGGGCCCCCACTTGGCCTGCCCCTTCTTCTCTCAACCCCCCCCCCCGCGTGCTGTCCCTAACCCTCCTCTTCTTCTTCCTCCTCTTCCTCTCCTCCTCACAGGATGACAGTGAAGCTGGGCGACAGCAGCAGCAGCAGCAGCAGCAACGCCGAGGAAGGGCTGAGGAAACCGGGCAAGCGAGCCGGGGGCGGCGAGGAGGAAGAGGAGTCCCTGGAAGAAGGGGCCGGGGAAGGCGGCGGAGGGGAGACCCCCTCGGGCGGCGGCGGGGCCGGCAGCCAGAAGGAAGAGGCCGCCCTTCAAAGCGGGGCCACCACCACCACTCATGGGGAGCCCCAGCCCTCCTCCTCTTCGTCCGCCGTCCCCCTGCCTCTGCCCCCAGCCCCGGCGGCCGCCCCCTCCACCCAGCCGCCCCACAGCCATGACCAGCATCATTTCCTCAGGTCCAGCGTCAGACCTCAGAGCAAAAGGTTCAGGAAGGATTCTCAGGCATCCTGTGCAGTGACAGTAGCAGGAGGAGGAGGAGGCGGCAGCACCACCACCACCACCACCGCCAGCAGCAATACTTTGCCTGCAAAGGGGAAAGGTACAGTATTAATCATGCTATGCACGTATATATAGGTGAGGAAGAGGATGGTGCCATCACAGACACATATGAGCATAAAGTGTGTATACATTTCTTTTCTGGGGCCTTAGCGTGCTTGTTTCTTGCAGCAAAAACAACAAAGGTATTGTGGTACCTTAAAGACTGGTGAGTTTTATGCAGCCTAAGCTTTGGTTGACAACTGCCACTCCATCAGGTGTACGTACACATACACACACAAACACACACACACACACACACTCTCTGTCTCTCTCCATCAGGTGTACACACAGACACACACGCACACATTTGGTTTTGCTTTCTTTACCACTTCTGTGTTCCAGATTCGATTTGCTTGCTTTCACGGGGATGGGGGGTGGGCAAAGCACTTCCCCCCTCGGGATATTGTTAGACGGCAGCTCCCAGCATTCCTCACCATTAGCTGTGTCGACTGATGGGCTGATGGGAGTTGCAGTTCAACAGCACCTGGAGCCCGCTTTACTCACCTCTTGTTTACAGGCTTCCCTTGTGCATACTAGAGATGTCGGGGGGGGGCTGTTTCTTAATGTGCAGTTTATTATGAAAGGCAGCTTTTAATTGGGTAAATGTGACCAATTTAAAGCCTCAGTCAAATCATTTTAATTTTGGCCAGTGAATTTGAAATTTGCAAGAGGTCTAATCAGCTTGTTGAACTGCTGGATAGCTGAGTGGTTTAGGTTTCTGGTTGCGGAACCAGAAGTTGGGAATTCAATTCTCCAGTGTACCTCCTTGATAGGGGCTGGACTGGATAATCCATAGGGTTTCTTCCAGTTCTAAGATTATTATTGTTGTGACACCTACCTACCTGGTCTTTCCTTTCCTTAGTATATTAATATAGATAGTTGCTCTCTAATGCAGTGGTCATTGGAAACCACTTCATCCATTTAAATATTCTCCTGGTATGTTAGGTTATAGTAATGAAGTTGCTGAGGACATACTCATTGCTAATAATAAAACTGTAGAGAAGCACATTTCACAAGAAGCGCTCTTTTAAGAAAATCTTCCACCATTTTGGAAGATGTCTTACATAAAAGAAGTTTACAATCCTCAGTCTATATAATGCCATAATTTATTTTTATGTTTGTTATATTTTATTTTTTGAAAGTGATATTAGAAGTCTGATGAGATTCCCAAAGTGTTGAGTACTGATCTTGGTGTCATGTCTTCACAAGATTATTTCTAATGTAGTTTACTCTAAATGTGTACCAGGTCAACAACGTCAAATATTGGGGGGAATCTAATCATTTCTTAATGAAATATCATAGGTCACTAAAAAAATACCTATCAGGTGATTAAGATGGAAGGGTGACATGATTGTTCAGTCACAGAAATAGCATTGTAATAGCAGTTTATTTCACTGCTTGCCCTTTTCATTACACAACACAAACATCTGCCCATCCAATACTCATAATAGCTAGTAGCCTCTCATATGGTTGCTTGTTGGAATCCAGAACAAAAGGCACACCCAGCCACCTCAGTAGGAGCTAGATAAGCCTCCTGAAGCACATCTGCATTGATTTTTTGTATAAAGGGTTACTTCCATACAGGGCTGAATTAGGACATGGTCAAACCCTATGCTGTGTCAAGTTTTAGGGTTCCTGTAGCATTATTTCAAATTACATAATATTCTTGTTTGAAAACAGGACATGAACACAGAGAGAGAGAGAGGCTGAGACTGTAATAAACCCAAGACACTAAATTATAGCTTAGATATCTTATGTCTTGGATATCTTATGTCTAAATCTGATACAGCTTGTGAATTTCATTTGAATTCCTCTTCCTCTATTATAGCATTTTACTTTAGATATGTGTTTTGATCATTGGAACCTCATCTAATTTTATTTTATTAGCATTTAATTGAAAATGAAATTCTTGTGGGATTCATTATAAACAGAATCTAATTCCTAGTAACTGCTAGGAACATAGAAAGTTGCTTTCTGTCCGGTTAGATGGTTTTGTCTGTCTACCCCAATTTTGCCTGTTCTGACTGGGACTGGCTGGTTGCTGTGGTCTTGGGCAGAGACCTTTCCCATCACCTGCTGCATGATCCTTTTAACTGAAGATGCCAGAGACTGAACATTCAGTGTGCCAGTTTGTGTTCTGTCATTGAAATACGGTGCATATTCTTTTTTTAGTTGCAGTGGGCATACTTTACCTTTGCAACTCCTGCAGAAGCCATGCGGAAATGAATAGAAATGCTACAAAAACTCAGCTATCATCTTGTGCCGCTTCACATCCTTCCATTGTATTTTGAATCCTTGCATCAGTCCTCTGCCATGTCTAGTGTACATTCCCTTTGCTAAGAGCGCTGTGTGTGTAGAGTCTATATTTCCAAAAATATGGAAAGGTGCAAAAGGAGCTGAGGAATTTTCATTACTGAAGAGAACAAGTAGCATTTTAGGCGGTAGCAAAAGCAGCAAACTGAATTCTGGTCTTTGCATTTGTATTTGACCTTTGGTGTAAGTCTGTTAGCCAAGTAGACAATTTTTTTTATCATTGCAGTTTGATTTGTGCATTAACAAGGGGAAAACTACAATACATTTTATTCCAAGTGTTAAGTACAATGAATTCATTAAATGAATTCAGGAAAAAATTGGCAGGCATTTTCCTTTCCTACTGGACACTGGACAGAATGATGGTCATTCTCACCTTGGATATTGCAACTCTGAAAATCGTTCTTAGTCTTAGTCTTCCAGGTTCTTCAGCCGATATGTTCTTCTTCCTGGGCTTACTTGCCATTTATTTTAGCAGCTTCAAGACTCTCAGCTTCCCTTAATTTATATTACATGACCAAAGTATTCTAGCATTCTATATTTTTGTGTTTTATGATATTTTCATCTGTTCATCTGCTTTAGTACTTTTGTATTAGTCGCCATCTCAGTCCAGGAAATTCTCGATTAATCTATATATCATATACTGTGCTTTTGGTAGCTGCCTATTAAAGTGCAGTTTCCCATGCCATACAGTGGGACTATGGCTATGTAGCACTGTACAATGTACATTTTCAAAACCAAATTTCAGATTTTGTTGCATTTTAAAGGACACTATTCTGAATTATGTCTTTTCTGTCATTTGTTAAGTGGTTATGATCCGACCATTAGTTCAACCAGATTTCCAAGTACAGTACTTATATTTGCCAATAGATTCTGTGCCTTTATTTTGGGTCTGTAACTGCTTTTATTGAGCTGCTTGCTTTTATTTTGTTGCCATCAAGGATGCTGGCAAGTCTTTGGGTCCAAGTTCCTATTAAAAGCAAGCTTCCCCCCCCCGAAAAGAGGGAGGTGGGGTGGGTTCAAAGTTGCAAGTTGAGGCTAAGTCACGAAAGAAAAAAACTAAGTCGAGTCACTGGTATGACTAAAGTCTGACTTGACAGTGAGTCCTGGGACTCAAATCCCCATCCCTGATTACCATGAATCTAGTTCTTAACATTCATTTTTAGTCTACTTAGATTTTGCAGAGTAATCTTTGCAGACAATTTAAATTGTGAACTAGTGATACAGTAATGTGTTTTCTACGCATTGGATATTGTTGTTAACTTTGCCACTGGACAATAATATTGTTCTTTGAATCAGCAAGTGTTTCACTAAAGATGTTTTCAAGTACAGATTAAAAAGTGACAGTGAGAATTTATAAACTTAATAACTACTGTAACAGTATGAATTCTTGTTGTATTGTTTGCATTTCTGCATGTTCTGTCATGTGCAGATTGTTGCAGCTTTTTCCTGCTGTGTGGCTTCCTAATTATGTATATAGATACCACTTGATTCAAGGTCTTTTTTTACAAGTAGATCCATCAGCTTTCCAAGGATGCCTTGGCCCTTTCTCATGACATCATCATTTAGTGCAGGGGTCCCAGGTCCACAGACCAGTACTGGGCCGAACCTTGGAAGGACTGGGTTGCTGGGACAGATGAGCGGCGAGCAGGTGAGCGGCGAGCGAACCTCTGCCTCCTGTCAGCATGCTCCTATTAGGTTCTAATGCCGCTGCTGATCTGACAGGAGGCGGAGCTTCAATCGCTGCTCACCTCCTACTAATGCCGCTGCTGATCTGACAGGAGGCGGAGCTTCAATTGCAACTCTCCTCCTACTTCTTACTTGCCATTTCCTTTATGAGCTCGATTCAAAGCTGTCCTCCAACAACTTACTGCATGACAAGTACGGGGGTGGTGGTCCTCGGGAGAATGGTCTTCAACTAAACCTGTCCCTGGTGTCAAAAAAGGTTGGGGACCACTGATTTAGTGGTTTCCCAATTTATTGGGCATTGTTTCCCATCCTAAAAAAATTGAAAATAGCTTAGTTGCTGGCATTAAGAACTCTAATATATTTGTTCAGATGCACACCCCTTTGATTTTGCTGCTTGCTATTGGAATGTGGCCCTAGAAATATGTCTGAATTCTAGAATATTCCCCCAAGAATATCTCTGAAGTTAAATTGTGCTGAAAGAGATTCCCCACCATTGTCATAAAGAGCACATCTAGCCAGTTCAGTGGGGCTGAAATTAACATTAGTGGTGCAATCTTATGTCTGTATAATTGGAAGACCTGTTGAACTAAATAAAACTTACTTGTAGTTAAGTATTCATAAGACTGAACATGCAATGAGAGTGTATATCCAGTGGTTCCCCAAATGTGCAAGGTTACCTTAATATATTAGTCTTGCTTGCTGAATCAGAATGGTTTAAGATGTTTTTTTTCAAAAGCTTTGGGCCAATGAGGCTGGATGCTTTCAAACGTCAGTTTGTACATCATAGTAGCACTTTTTATATCTACAGCTTATTGTCACTGAAAGACATGAGACTGAGATTTTGTAGTTTACTTTAAATGCAGTAAAATGCTTTAAGTAAAGGTATCCCATGAAAATCTTTGAAGGAAAATTGTGTTAATCAGACAATTACTTTTTCTTTTCCAGAAGGATGATCATTCTAAAATACTGTTTTTAATTATACTATCAGGTCTCATATAGGTT